CGACATCCGGTCAAACGTCCGATATGACACCCAAAGATTTTCATTTCACCAACTAAAGATGCCCTTAGCTATGGGAAACCTCGGGAGAAGGCGCGTGCACCTATAAGGTACCACTTTGAACGTACGTGCTCTCCAAGAACTAATAATAGAGAAAAAAAATAAGAAAACGCAAGAGTAGACTAAAAAGGTTATTGAAATATAACAACAGAAGATTAAGGAGTAAATAATTAAGAGCGTATCTGATCGTACGCATGGCAAAATGGATGAAAAACAAATTTAATAAAAGGAAAACAAAAAGGAAAGAAGAGGTAGCTTAATTAATTAGCTATAGCTGTAGCTCTTACAGGCGCATATGCAGACGATCCAGATGTAGAAGAAGTTGAGGTAAGGGATGCCGGGGTGGGCCTCGCACCTCTCCTTCGTCCGGCACCCGGGGCACCGCCGCCGCCTCCCCGCCGCCGCCGGTACCAGCAATGGCGCCGCCGCCGCAGCGTCGTCGCCGCCGGCCTTGTCTCCGGCGGCCATTATTACTAGCTCAATCGGTCAATCCCTCCTCGATCTCCTACTAGCTAGCTTAGCTAGTCTGTCTCCGGCGAGCAGAGAGGAGGAAAGAGGTGTACTGTACAGGAGCAGCTACACGGAGTACAGGAGCTTGGCTATATATGGCGCGCGCGCGTTTTATTGGCGATGGCGCCCACGGGGACTGTCGCTAGGGCTGTCAACGAGCGGAGCTCACCTGTGCAGGTTCGAGCTCGATATAAGCTTCAGCCGAGCTGGCTCATAACTCATGAAGAAGTCACCTCTGTTGTAAAGTATCCCTGAGAGAGTAAGATGTTGTTGTATTTTGTTCAAAATATGATAATTTCTTCATAACATTCTTTTCTCAGCCAAAATCACAACACTTCACCATTCAATTTTCTCGCCTAACTCTATTTCTCGACCAATCATCATTTTCTTCCATTTAATTCTAAATATTTTCTTAGTACTCACATTCAACCCTAAAAATCTTTATATTCTGGAATGGAGGGAGTACCACTATACATATATTTTAAGGATCGAATCTCTCAATAAATAAAAGCAACTAATTTCTATTTAATCATATACATACATAAATAAGGAGAAAACAAAACAATATAAATATGTGGCACCGATACAAACTACTTCGTTGTGTTGAATACTTATATATAAATAATATAATATATACTTTGATCTACTAATTTGTAAAGTAAAAAATAAAATACATATATTGTCAGGCTCGATAATAGCTTGAGCTCAGCTCGACAAAGCTCACGAGATTTTGGTATAGGCTCGGACTTGACTTGTCAGAAGCTCGAGCCAAGCTAGAACTATTAAGCCTACGATGAGTCGGTTAAAGGTGTAATTGATTAACTAGTGAAACTTATTTATAAACTTGTTTTATTTTAATATATAAGTGAGTTTATGGATTAGCCACTTACTACTGCACCTCTCGTGGCGATTGAGCAGCTTGTGAGTGGCTACTGAGTGCCCAGCTTTTTTTTTCTTTTACAGCCCTAGACGTCGTCAAACACAAACGTACGGAGCGGTGAGGTCCGTGAGGAAATTGGTAGGTCGCACGTGCTGGGAGGATGGACCTGCTGGGGCCGCGTGCTTATTAGGTGTGTGGCACGTTCGATTAGTTTGCACGTTCCGATGATCCCGTGAGATGTACAGTACGTATAACGTACTCACACAGTCTCCGAGCTTTGCAAATGCCAGGGCTAGCTATCATTACTGTCTTTTTACTATATAAGACCAAGTTTAATATAATGTATAGATAACTATTAGCTTCAAATCATTTATAGTCAATTTAATAACTAATTCATACAATAGTTACCTATAAACATATAGTATACTATTAATATCTAGTCCCATCTGTCAACACATTGTGTCTTGAAGTCCATGCTGAAGCTGCTCTTTTTTCTCTTTTTTTATCTTCTCAACATATGTTTATAGCTGATTTATAGTCATCTATTGTACCTGCTCTTAAGGTTATAAGTATAAACTCCAAAGTGTTATGTGTATGTTTAAATAATGATGTGGAGGAGAGAAGAGAAGAGAAGAGAGAGGAAGATCCACCTCTTATGCAACGGGTAACCTCCACACAAACTTTAAAAATCAAGAGAAAATAAAAGAGGTTGATTGGTGGCAAGTGCATTAGTACTAGTGTATTAAATGCAATTCATTTATATAAGTTAGTTTTAATTTTATAGATGGATGATGTGGATAAAATTGAAGGTGACCACCATCTCTATTATAAAACTTACCTTTAAACAACTGAGTCTGAGTGATTATATCTGACCACGCCTAGCCCCATTCGAATCTGCTAAGGATGAAGATTAAAAGCAGACATGTCAAACAAAAAAGTCATTAATACTTGATTAATTAAGGGCCTGTTTGGTACAGCTCCAACTCTTAAATTTAGCTCCAGGAGTTGAGTCTGGAGTGGAGTTGTGGAGCTGCCTAAACCTAGCTCCACAACTCTAGTTCATTTTGTGAGAGAGCTCCATCCAGCTCCACTCCCATTTTTTGTGGAGCTGAAACTGTTTGGCTGAGTTCCAGCTCCAGGAGGGGTGGAGCTGGAGCTGTGCTAAATAGGCCCTAAATTTTAATTATTACAAACTTGAAAAATAGATTAATATGATGTTTTAAAGCAACTACCGCATAGAAAGTTTTCGTATAAAATACATTGTTTAGTAGTTTAAAAAACGTGATATTGAAAACGAGGGAAAATCTTATCTTGATGAATGTAATGCGCCCGGTGATACATCGAGAACCTCATGGCTCATGCCTTCCTAATCGTGCTAACTACGCCATTATATTGGATTCGGACGTACGTAATCGCAGTGTTTTAATCCAATTGACCATTAGTGGCGCGTGTCACGCACTCTCAACGATCTCGTACAGGGGAGAGAGAGAGAGAGAGATCCGCGGACAGAGGCAAAATGGTCAATTGCAATATAATAGAGGGTTTCAACAACTGCAAAACAGTCTATAAAGGTGATGAATCATCGAGGTGACAAAGAAATAGTCAAATAGATGGTAATCAATTGCAATATAGAGGGTTTCAGTGAATCAATTGGCAAATCGTTGATTTTCTCGCAAACATGAGATATATAAAATGTATAATAAGCTAGCTTGTGATATATAGCTCTGAGATCAGTCAAGACAACGCGGCGCCGTGCCGCCGTGCAACACAAAAAGCCCCCTTCACCGGCCGGTGTTGCATACCTCTCGTGCTATGTGCATCGCGTCCCCAACACCACCTACGGACCGTGGTTAGTTTTATTTTCCCTAATTAACCAACTGAATCAACCAAAAATCCAAAACTCAACAACGTACTTGCACAGTTGCACTTGAAAAATACGTATTTGAAGAGAAGCAAACGTGTGCAACTTACGACCCCAATATTTTAGCCCCTTTGATTAGAAAAAAATTAAATGATCGTATTGCTATAGAAAAAACTCATAAGGGCATTGAAATTTGGGATTGGATCATATCTTTTTTGAAATTCATATGAAATTGAAAAAAATGGTAAGCCCCGTGCAGACGGTAGATAGTCGGAAGTTGTCTATCATATGGTAAAAGACGTTGGTCGAAATCGTCATATATCTGTGACGTTGTCACGTCGCAGAAGGGATCAGAATGAGCGGGGCATCTAGATCTATACTCCCTCCGTCCCTAATAAAATCAAACCTTAGCATCCAAGAAGCTATTAAGGAAAGAAACAAAAGATCAAATAACCCTTAACTAATGCAAAAATTGTAGGCAAAATTTGCTTCAGGACATCGAAAAAAAGTGTAATTAGTTAGGGGACACCGTAAGAACGCGTATTTGCTGTAGGGCATTGCAAAAAACTAGTAATTAGCTGTTGAATACCCGCGGGATTATTTTATTATATCCGGACGAATTGGAGAGAGAAACAGATGTGTAAGTATGATTCTACCCTTTAATTTTTTCCTTTTTCTTTATTCTTCCTTATTCTTTTCTCCCTCTTTCATTCTTTCTCTCTTTCTTTTCTTCTCTTTCTTCAACCAAGCCCGAGGAAGAGGGAGAGCGCCGGCAACGGCGTGCGGGTCGGTGCGGTGCTACGCGGCGGAGGTAGCGCCAGAGCAGGAGGACTCTGCAAGGTATGCTCTCCTTCTGCTCCGTCTCCGTGGTGCGCGCATCGTTCGGTGCGCGATCCGACCACTAGGACAAAGTCCCTGCACGAGCTCAACGAGGCAGTGCTGCATCGCAGGTGAGAAGGTGGCGGCGGCTGCCAGGGCAGTGTAGCCGCCGCTTCGTTCGCCCATCGCTTGTTGCTCCTCCCAGACTCGCCCGCTGCCACCGCTCCTCCTAAGCTCGCCCGCCGCATCCGCGACCACGATGGCGTGCCACTGCTAGAGCGAGATGAGGACCTGCTCAGTGTGGGGCCCACGTTGGACTAATTTAAGCCAAGGAAAAACTGGTTTTAAATGATTATTTCTCTCTCCTATTCCTTCGAAAATAATAAAGTAATATCACGGGGCCAGCAGCTAATTATCTTTTTTTCGATGCCTTACAACAAATACGCATTCTTACGGTGTCTCCTAGCTAATTACACTTTTTTTATGTCATGTAGCAAAGTTTGCCAAAATTGTATTGGTTGATGTGTATTGAAGTAATAAACTTTCTGGATTTGCGGATTGGTGGAAGGAGTTGGTTTATTTTGGGACAAATTTTAAACTCTAGGAGTTGATTTATTTTGGGACGGAGGGAGTGTTAAAAAAAAAGTAATGTTAGATTGTCATTGGGCACCGGGCCGTAGCACATTGATAAAGGGCCTCCTACCACCATACGGTTAGGCCCGGGAACTTCCAATTCCCGCCGTTTCGATCGAGAGAGCTTTGGGCCGATGACTTCCGGCCATTCCATGGCACGCCGAGCTGCCACGCTCGCGTCGCGTCCAGATGCGCGCGCGCGCATATATCTTCTCCCCGCTCACCACAGCCATTCGTCCCCGGGCCTCGCCGCGCCGCGCCACGCCACGCCTCCGCCCGCGTTCGCACTGACTGACCTGTCACGCGCGCGCGCGGGGGGGAGAGCGCGAGGAGGAGGAGAAAAGATCTTCGCGCCCCCCCGTCTTGTCCTCTGTGGAGCCGAGGCCGAGGCCGAGCTGAGCTGAGCTCGCTTCCGTGCTCGGCCAGCGCACCCGCGCACGCAAGCAAGCAAGCAACCGAGCAAGAAGACCTGCGCTGCGCGCGCGCGCGCTGACGGGCGGAGGCGAGGCGAGGCGATGCTCTACCTGCTGCCGCTCTCCGTCTCCTGCCGGGTCCCCGGCTCGCCGCCGGCGCCGCGCTCGCGGCGCTTCCTCGACCCCGGCGGCGGCCGGGGAGTTGGGGATGGGTTAGGCGGCGTCAGGGTGTTCCGGAGGCGGGCGCTGCGAGGGACCGACGTCCGGTCGAACACCTCGTCGTCGTCGTCGCGGAAGGGCCGCCACGACGACGCGCGACACGACGGGGGATACGGCGACGACGGCGACGCTGGGGCGCTGCTGGCGTCGGTGAGGAGGCTGCTGCTCTCCGGGTCGGCGCAGGACGACGCGGCGGAGGGGGAGGCGGAGGAGGACGAGCAGGGTCAGTTCCCCAAGCGATGGGCCATCGTCTTCCTCTGCTTCTCCGCATTCCTCCTCTGCAACATGGACCGCGTAAAAATTCCTCCTCCCTTCTCTAACGCCCTGATGAACCCTAGATTCCCCCCCCCCCCCCTCCTCAATAATTCCATTTCGTTGATATTGTAAAATGCACTAATGCCCAAATGAACCAAAGATGCAGTTTCTTGATCGGATCCAAAAACATAAACTTGTCAAATGCCGATTCCTAATGATGATTGGTAGTAGTATATGTTAAAAGCTTCAATTCTTTCTTGGGAGATTCATGCTTTCAACATTTTGCAGGTAAACATGAGCATTGCCATTCTGCCAATGTCTGCAGAATTCGGATGGAACCCACAAACTGTTGGCCTCATTCAGTCATCTTTCTTCTGGGGCTACCTGCTAACTCAGGTCTGTGTGCAGTACTAATCCAGGGAAATCTGTAACTAGGATTCATGCAAGAGCAGTTTGAGTTCATTTGGTACCCCATGATTCTGATGTATTGCCATTGCAGATAGCAGGAGGAATCTGGGCAGATACAGTTGGAGGGAAGACTGTCCTTGGCTTCGGCGTCATTTGGTGGTCGATAGCCACAGCTCTTACGCCTTTTGCGGCGAAGCTGGGGTTACCATTCCTCCTTGTGACCCGTGCTTTCATGGGAGTTGGTGAGGTGAGCATTTCTAATTCATATTATATTCATTTGTTATGTCATACAAGTTTTGTGCAAATGCTAATGTAGAGCCCTTATCAGATGATGTCTAGCTTCTATTGAACTATAGTCAAGTGACAGAACATTTTAAGAGAAAAAAAATGAATTTATGTTGAAGTTGAAAAATCTGGGGTGCCCTAAAATTCCCTTTGATCGTTTCCACAGTATTGCACCTTTCATCATTTCTGTTGTTCAGACTTCTTCAGTGTTTCAAAGAGTGGATTTCATTTGTAATACAAGGGGTAGCAGAACATGCCTGACTAAATCACTTCGCTTGTAATTCACAAAAAGAATATTAACTTTTTTTTATGCATTCTTAGTCATGGTTGTTTTGGTGGTATTTGATATTTTCTATGCACCTCTTATTGATACGGTAAACATATAAAATCTTTCCCCAGGGAGTTGCCATGCCTGCGATGAATAATATTCTTTCGAAATGGGTTCCTGTATCAGAGAGGAGCAGATCATTGGCTCTCGTGTATAGTGGAATGTACCTTGGGTCAGTGACAGGGCTTGCATTTTCCCCATTGCTGATACATAACTTTGGCTGGCCATCGGTCTTCTACTCCTTTGGGTCTCTGGGTGTATTTTGGTTTTCGACATGGGCGAGCAAGGTATTTCTCGGTGTTCTGTTCACCATTTCACTCGGAATTGGTGAATTACTGTATTACTTTTCTAATTTTTTTTTAGTTATCTCTTAAATTTGTGATCTGCTTCTATAAAGGCGTATAGTAGTCCACTTGAGGATCCAGGAATTAGTGCTGAAGAGAAGAAGCTTATAACCAGTCAAACCACAGGAGGAGAGCCTGTTAAAGAAATTCCATGGGGACTAATATTATCGAAACCCCCTGTTTGGGCTCTTATAGTGTCTCATTTCTGCCATAACTGGGGAACTTTCATCTTGCTCACATGGATGCCAACATACTACAACCAGGTATGATCAGCATCATAGTTTTCTACCTGAGGATCTTGAACCGCAATCCCTTGTGTATAATAATATTTAAAAACAGGTTCTGAAATTCAACCTCACAGAATCCGGCCTTTTCTGTGTTCTCCCCTGGTTAACAATGGCAGTTTCTGCAAATTTTGGTGGTTGGATAGCAGATACGCTTGTCAGTAGAGGATTATCAGTGACAACAGTTCGGAAGGTAAATTAATCCCTTCAGTCGTGAAATTTACCCATGCAATGAGGTGCTATCAAACTCCAACGGAATATTCAATATGAATCATTGTTCTACCATTGGCAAACCATGCTTGAATATGTGAATTTGTGTGCGGCATAATTAATCAACATAATGCTTAGAAGTGAGAATGAAGAGCTAAACCTAATTCATTGTGCATGACTTTCTATCTACTTCGTGCAGATCATGCAGTCAATTGGATTCTTAGGGCCCGCATTTTTTCTGACTCAACTGAGCCATATCGATTCACCAGCAATGGCAGTGTTGTGCATGGCTTGTAGCCAGGTAAATGGCAGTTTGGCTTCTTGTCATTTTCCTTTATTCTGTCATAGAACAGCCATATATTATGTACCTCTTTTTAGAACAACTGTGATTTGTATCTGAATGGCCATTTTGAGATCTATCTCAGTATTTCCAGCATAACATGTTGCATTTCTTATTCTCAGGGAACTGATGCATTCTCACAGTCCGGTCTATACTCAAATCACCAAGATATCGGTCCTCGATACGCTGTAATCAACTCTCTTTAGCACAAAACATTTCTTCAAATGACGCATTTTCGGAGTTCTGTCTGAAACATTATAGCTTCAGGTGAACTCACATGTTGTCTTGCAGGGTGTACTGCTTGGTCTTTCTAACACGGCTGGGGTTTTAGCTGGTGTGTTTGGCACAGCGGCAACAGGATACATCTTGCAGCATGGTTTGGCCTGAAATCCCCATCTCCCTAGTGACATAATGCACATCAATTTTACAATCTTTTACATGATTTTTTGTTGCTCTGTTTAATAAACGCAGGTTCTTGGGATGATGTCTTCAAAGTATCTGTTGTGCTGTATCTGGTTGGGACTTTGGTCTGGAACCTATTCTCGACCGGTGAAAAAATTATCGATTGATGCTTGTATATAGCCTGCTTACAGTTCAAAATGGAAAGTACATACGGTTCAGTAACTGGTGAGATGAGAATTGCATTCGATCAACATCCATTCCATGTGAAGCTCAACTCTTTGCAGAAACAGAACTACAGACTGCAAACTTTTCCGCGCAGCGTTAGACATGCAATTCTTGGCAGAAGAAGTTTCAAGTGTTCGAATTTTTCACATGATTCAGGATCTTCGCACAATTTTGCAAATGAAGCATGTGCAAGAGGTTTGAGTTGAGCAATTACCAACAGCCAGTTTTTTAGGACTCTGTAAGTATAGGTATTTCTGTACAGCTTAGATGAAGAATCCACCATCCACCGTACACCCCTATTATTTTTGACTTGTTACACAATTTTCTTGAACATCGTATTTCTGTAAAGTTTGTAGTTAACAAGTTTAGGAATTCGGCAATCTTACCTGATTCTTGTGAATTTAACTGTTTGAGATATGGCCCTTGGCATTTGATGGGCATGGTTTCATCTACACTTTGTGTGACATGTGTTCCTAAGTATAGTTTTCCAACTATGGTCAATATTTGTATAATTATATTAGGCAACGCATGTCAGAAGAAAGAAAAGCGCCAAAGAGGAATTGAGGCATGGCTACAAGTGAACAATTTAAGCATAAACGAATAGAATAATCAGTAGTACCAGCGCTGCTTATTATTTATTTTAAAAACATATTTCGGCATATCATTTTGGACCATAACAACATGGCATCTCAACAGTCAACAATGCAAAAGTAAAGAGAACTTTTGAACCAGTCCCTTATAATAGGGCAACTAAATCAAAACTGGCAATAAATATCAAGACTTAGTTCATCAAAGCAACCATACATTACCAGGTATTATCAGTCAAGAGGGCCTCAGGCTTGCGATAAATATTATCTACACTACAAGGGTTGAGCTGCAGCCTAGTCTTTACTTGCAGTATCTCGTACAAGCAAAGCAACCAAGCTTGCACATTTACCAGGTACTCCGATAAAGCTAATTTGCTATTGATCTATATCACACGAGCGACAGGGACTGATTGGCACGTTCAGCAGTTTGTGTCATATGTTGCAAGCCCTTGCAACTCGGGCCCCTCCAACCTTGGATTTTTGTCAAAGCTGCAGAGAGAAAAACAATGGCTTAGAAACAATGCAAACTGGGGCGATGAGTTCTGCATATGCCAAGTGACGACAATTAATGGAAGTCCACAATACATAGAAAACAAAATATGGCACTTAGTGAGTCATTTGTTGTGTCGATTAATTCTGATTCAGCAATTAGCGTATATGGAAAAGAAATAAAAAAATAAACTCTGGATCTATGGCATACCACAGAAAAATGAGTAGCTCTTAGAAGATAAAGAATTCAAGAAAATGAGTAGAGCACTCTTTTTATCTGGTACATAGATATGTGCTACATAACAACCAAATTAGTATTATGGCAAAAGATGAGCTGCACTGTCAAATCAGAAAAACTTAGCCGAGGTTCACTAGTAATCAATTTTATGACTTCGGGTGTTTTGGTTTTTGGCTGATGGAATAGTGTGGCTAATGTCTCAAGTCCTCTCATTTATACAGAAGCACAACATTGGATGTGCAAAAGCAAAAAACAAGTCAACATAATTGTAAAATAAATTGGTAACAAGGCTTTTAGATCTTACTTGTTCAGGGGTATATGCTCAAAAGGCCCGCTAGTAGGAATCGTGCCGCAAAGATCATTGTTCGAGACATCTCTGGAAGCAAGAATAGATAGACAAATAAAAGATCATCATTAATATGTACAGAACATAAAAATTATGTGAAACAGCATTGTTAACTGAGCACTTACATCACTTTGAGACTAGATATTTTTGCCAGATCCCTCGGGATTGGACCGTTTAAACTGTTGTCATTAAGCCGCCTAAAGAAACAAAAATAAAAGGATTAACATAGCGTAAAAGTACCAGTGTACCATAGCATAAAAAGAATTAAAAAGAAAGTGATGCTTGCATATGTGGCAAAATGGTGCAAAAGTGGATATATGTTAACTAAAGTATAGTTGCTTAAAAGAATAAGTACAGCTAATCACAAGAATAAGTATAGTTACTCACAAGAATACTAAGGAACTCAGCTTGCCAAGTTCTTTCGGTATGGTTCCAGTAATGTTGTTGTTATACAGATCCAAGCTAATAAGGTTCTTCAGACTCCCGAGCTCAGCTGGGATAGTGCCCTGAATATTGTTTTTGTACAGCTCTCTGTAACAATTTTTCAAAAACTAGTTAGAGCACTAACATGAATGTCAAGCTCAATTGCAGTAAAATAGCATCGGAAATTAAGGATGACCAAAGCATATTTTATAAATCAAATGGATACAAGACTTAATGATGCAGTCTTGGCACAAATCACGAGACTGAAAACAAACAGTTCGTTGGAAAAACTGTACAATATATTGTCTTATAGTGGACCATGTTCAATGCTGGTGTTTATTTTGCATATGAACAGCTCATATCAGATTCATATGTTCTGATATAGCTGAGATTCCCAGCATTTAGATTTAGTTCATCATTTTACTTAAAAAGAATCATCTCTCTTGCTCATTAAAATAACACTCCGAAAATGCTCTAGTTTCACTCCACTAGGAAACGGAAGCTGCAATCACATAACAGGAAGTGAGAAGATCAAAACAGTAAGTCAATAATTACGTGCCACAAGGAACTGTTGAAAACCACAAATTGTGTTCTAGATTTCTGGTAATGTGAGAGTTTCCATTTTTCCCCCAGTTTTTTCACCATTTGCCATGATATTTGCAGTTTAATTCATGAAGCCTAGCTGTTTAAATGACTTTACAAATCCAGCGCTGAAGCTTTATGAGTTCAAAAAAGAAGTGATGAAAGAAAGGAAGCTAGGTCTAACATAGTATTCCAGCTGTAACTTCTACATGACAAGCAGTTGGCAGTGTTGCTGAATGCTGACCATATGTAATGCAAACTTAACAGGACATGTGAGTTTTTAGCTTATCAGTGTCGGTGATCATTGCCATCAGAGAACCTTTGCTGAATGAACTCTACATTTTAACACTTCAGAAAATAAAGTGCATCAATATGTAGAAAGACTTACAGATATTGGAGATGCTCAAGGTGTCCCAGTTCAGGAGCAAGATGGCCTGACAAATTTGAGTTACCCAAGTCTCTACAAGATACAAAATTGTTAGAAAGTATCAGAAAAATGTTAAGATGGACAAAGACAATGAATTGAACCAAGAACATAGGTAACCATAACAAAATATATCTCTTGTATGGTAATGGCATCATGGTGAACGCTGCATCGAAAGAAACCACTTCGATGAATCAATTTCTTTCCTTCAGCAAGCAAACATATATAATAGGTACCCTAAGTCCAAACCAATGGAAGGATGCAAGTGGACCGGTCCGCAAGCCCCCATATAGGCCATTTTTGCAGGCCAACCTATGGGTCAGCCCACGAAAATGTCCCATACGCAGGCTCGTGAGTCAGCCTGCTTGCATCCCTACAATGGAGTACATAAAAGACTACAAAAATCTAGTCGTACAGTGAAAGCAGTAAGACTCTATCTAGGGTGGTTGATTGCTAAGTACTCCCTCGTTCACATTTGACCAGCGCATTCCATCTTGACACTTCCATTTAATCCCCATGATAATATCTGTATTAATTGGCTACATACACATCCTCGCTACATGCGGATTGGATACACAACTTTTTTTTTCTTTTTTTAAGCTGACCATTAGCAGGCGATGCATTGTTCCCGAGATGCATGGCGTGCTAGCGGAGTAACTCACGTGCGAACTGTGCAGCCAATGGGTAACGCGACAATCATCATTGGATAATTGCTTTTTGGTTTTACGTGGATCAATTGCGCACATAGAGAATATAGCTTGCATCAGCGATATTTCCATGCAGGATCAAGGAGTACTCCCCGGTTCCATTTATAGCTATCATCAGCATAATTATGCAAATACATGATGACATAGCTAACGTGCAAAGTATTGATATCAAACTACTACATGCAAGTAATTAGTAGATATTATATAGTGAGTAGCTTTACTGTTGCTACAAACTAACTAGTAACATTTACTATTACAGACAAACTGTATTGCAACGATGATTCCACATGGGCAGAACAAAATCTTTTAAAAAAAATTAAATGACAATCTACAAATCACGTTCTTTGCCAGTAGATCACGGTCTCACCAGAACCGAATGAACAACTAAATCACCATATCCCTTTCACCAACTGGTGTCAATTAACTCACAGATCCATTTGAAACTGTATTTAAGCATTAGCGGCCTAGCACAAAGCCCTCGCATTTCCAATACTACGGCAGAGGTCAGTACACCGAAGCAAACAAAAGCAGTACACAACGGAGGGAGCAAAACCGGCCGGTAGTAGCCAGCTCAGTCGGCGAGGCGGCGGCGGCGGTGGGGGGGGGGGAGGTGGACTCACAGGCGGGTGACGCGGCCGGCGCGGTCGCAGGTGACGTGGAACCAGGTGCAGGGGTTGACGAGGGTCGGGTCCCAGCTCTGGAGCACGCCCCGGGGGTCCGCCAGCGCGCGCCGCAGCGCGTACAGCGCGTCCCCCTCCGAGTTGGACGCCGACGCCACGGCCGCCGCCAGCAAAACCGCCGCGAGCGCCGGGGACCAGGCCGCCGCCATCGCCATCGAAGCTTAGCTAGGGTTCCGGATGCGGGCGAGGAGGAGTGGGGAAATGGGCGGAGTGAGTGAAGGTAGTGGAAGCGGAGGTGGTGAGGGGAGTTTAACCTCGGGAGTCGGGGGAGGGATCGCTCGGATCTTCTGCGGCGTAAATACGCGCGAGTGAGCTTGTTGTGTGACGGTGTGAGGGTGAGATGGGACACGCAACGCCTCGCTGTCGAGGGGTACGTCGCCTATCACTGAAAGCACAACGCCGTTAAATCCTGGAAAATTCGCCTATCACTGAAAGCACAACGCCGTTAAATCCTGGAAAATTCGCTCTCATGGGGAGTCGAACCCAGGACCTCAGGTGCTACTGAGGCTCTTGTAACCACCAGGCTACAGGCCCGTGGTTATAAATGAATTACTCTATCTGTTTTATATTTTAAGTTATTTGAATTTTTTCCTAGTCAAACTTTGTTAAGTTTAATCAAGTTTATAGAAAAATTTAGTAACATTTAAAATATTAAATTAGTTCATATATTCTGATAATATGTTTGTTTTGTGCTGAAAATACTACTGTATTTTTATATAAACTTGATCAAACTTAAAGAAGTTTAGCTAGAAAAAAAGTCAAATGACTTATAATATAAAATGGAGGGAGTAGCTGTTACTCCATAAAGTTATAAATAAGAGTAAATTTTATAAAATTACATGTATTTTGACATCACAAAACTACAAATTTAATATGGTATATCACAAACCTACATATATGGAAGATCACCACTGCATATTTAATAATAATATTATCGGTTTTGCACCAACCTAAGTACAAGACTACAACATTTATAACTCTCACCATAATAGTAGTGGTAGGGATTTAAATTGTAAAATTTGTAGTTTTATGATAACTCCAGTATTAAAGTTTTATTTTTGTGATACTTGATAAATCTTATGTTCAATCTGTAGTTTTATGATACAACATCTCGTAGTTTTATGATAATTTGGTTCAAGTGTTTGTAGTGTTGTAAAATTTAGTCTAAAAATAAATTTTAAATAACTTTCTAAGAAATATATTTATACATATGTTTTTAAAGAAAACACAAGTTCAGAAAGCATGTGCATTCATCCATCATTCCATTAATGAGAAAAGGATAGCCCAAGGTAAAAGGATTAAAGTGAAGGCATTGTATTCGATAGGGAATTTTATGTTTGGAATGGAGGATTAGCTTTTGCTTTTCCTTTGGAATGAGATAATGAGAATGCTTTTACAGCACCATACTAAATTATTTGTTGATCGGTGGCATAAAATTTGTTTATTTAGGTCTGAAAAGAATATAGCATAATTAACACCCATATAATTTCCAGAATCATAAGGGCCACAATACAATTTTGTGTGGCTTACTAAGAATGCCCTAGCTTCATTCAGATTTCCATCTATTTCTCTCTCACATGTATGCAACGGTTTAAAACATACAAAAAAAACTGAAGGAAACATAGAGGATTAAAAATCCTATGGAAAATTGTCAGGGCCATGGATACCACATACCTAATAGTAGTTGACTAAACTCGGCAGGGCCCACCACATACCATGTCTTATACGGATACAAACCTCGTATATAAAAGGAGTTCCGGATAAGGAAGGACAAAAAGAGTTTTATATGGAAACGACAGGGATTACTCGGATCGTATCCATATTTATCTCCCTAGTTCTACTTGGACAAGGGGTCATCTATGGGTATAAATACAAGCCCCCCAGGAGGAGAGAGGGGACACCCACCACAATCTACGACGCCACAAAACCACAAGCCAATACACATCGCCAGATCTCGACATCAGAGATTAGCCTAGCCATACCCCATCCGGTGTCTACGGAAATCGGCAAGAGGGATCTAGCGCCATCTCTGATCTCGACGAGTTCATGTTCGAGGAGGAAGACTACCTGTTGTCGACTACGAGTTGGTTATCTAGCCGCTAAGTCGACAACAGATAGATAGGTTATCCCAAATATTGTATTTGTGTGATACAGATGAATAAAGAGCAACACCGGCTTCGGCCAACAGGATGTAGGGCTATTACCTGTAAGATAAGGGGCCCGAACCTGTATAAAAATCCCTGTCTCCATCTCTTTTACCTCAATCTCGCATATACTCTGGTACCAATAATCCCCATACCATCCAAATACCCTAGTCGTAACTATCAAACGTCGACAAAAATAATCCTACTCCGTCCTTAGAAACCGTCCTTTGGAATTCCTATGGAATATACCATTTCATGGGAATTTTTGAGGAAAACTAAGGTTCCTATAATTTTCCTTTGGTGTTGCTAAACTACATTTGTTCCCTATCGAATACAATGCCTTCACTTGTTTTTTGGGACATTTATCAGATCACAAATCAAATATATAGTTTAGGTAGAAACATTTTACTTTAACCATGCTAAAAAAAGGTGAAGCCACCCAACCTACAAGAGCATGCCACATCATCACATACAATATATGAATGGCTTCATCTAGTTGTTTTGATCGGATTTTGCCATCCAATATATAGATGGAATATGCTATGGGTGACAACCATATCCTCAATCGCCCATGAACTAAACACCACTAAAAATGTAACTGCTATATCATGATTGTTAAAATGGTACGACGTCCTAAGGTTGTGTTCTTTACCCCCATCTTCCAATTTCTATCCTCTCATCTTTTATACGCACGCTTCCCAAACTGCTAAACGGTGTGTTTTTTTAAAAAAAAAATCTATAGGAAAGTTACTTTAGAAAATCATATTGATCCATTTTTCAATCTTTTTTTGTCTAATACTTAATTAATTATGCACTAATTTACCACTCTGCTTTATGTGCTTGAAGGGTTAGTTTCCAACTCTCTATAACGAACACAACTTAAAGCGATCCCGAATTGGCACTCCCAAACTAATTAGGTGCCAAGCCAAAAAAAATCTTATATGGCAGCAAATCAAGGCTACATTTTAAGAGCAGTATAACAAACATATATATCTCTTATTCTTGGCAACTGAGTCCATATAGCATCCACCACCTTCATGGACCATGGTAGCATCTGTCCCCTTAGGACCATCAACATTATAAATTGGGCTTTTAGATTTTCGGGCCTTTCCCGTGTGCAACCAATTTGCCTTGCACATCAGCCATTCAAATCAAATCGAACAACTGTCATTTTGTTGCTGACGTGGCTTAACCACAAGGCAAAGGATTCCTATTAACTACACCAGGCGTGGATGAACTATATAGGTATATAAGATTCACATAGAAAAGTTATTTGACTACAATAATGAAAAGACTGGAAACCAAAACAATGAAGAGGTTCCTCGACTAGCAATCATAAAAGCATTTTGATTGGTATCCTATTAGATTGACTCAGATCATGAAGCTGTTGAAGGTGGATCACCCTCGGAGCCACCACACCGTCTTCCTTTATGCTTCATTAACATCCATAGCTTTATATACGTCACTAACAATCATAGTAGAAAAAACCGGACTAGCGGTTCAACCGGAAAAAACCGGAACCAGCTCCCTGACCGGCTCGGTTCCCTCAAAGGATCGTTCACGCAATCGACCCGGTGTGAACCTTGCCGACCACTAGGCTAAGTAAGTTGCTGTGACTGGAAGACAACACAAAATATACTTAGGAAATAAACCGCGGTTCAACCAGTGACCCAACGGTTGAACCGATAGACCGGTGAACCCAACACTCCACCGGGTCAAGCACCGGTCCGGTTTTTTCTACTATGCTAACAATCTGTGTTGTTGTGTACAACCTGCAAGGAACCAAGCAACACATGTCCTATATTATGTATCTTTTACTATGCTTACTCAAACTAAGTTGAAGTATCTTTAGCAATCATTAGACAATATGATTTGTACTATAATTATGTTTCCCTCATGTTATTTGATTTGCTTTGAATACTACTCAATCTTACCCTACAATCATCCATAAGTAACATGTTGAAAGTTCATGTGCCATTAATTTGGTTTTGGTGATTAATGATAAATCCAAATATGTGAGACTAATGTTTTTATAAGCATTTCTTTGCCTAGTCTCATGTGGATATGAAAGTAGAGTGTGTGAGAGGTGATTCCCGGACTTCATATGAGTTGAGATAGAAACATTCATTGATGGTGGACCTAAATCACAAGGATGAAATGCATGGAGATCAAGATATATGTATCACTCTTTCTCTCCATGTACATATTGATATGTTCATATATAATATTTCCATGTGATTGACATATGCATGTGAGACTAATGTTTTGTTTGAGTCTTATTTCTTATTTAGTCTATTTACATTGAGAACATGGAGATGATGAATGTATGTTTTTATTTTAATGTCTATATTTGAGAAATGCCTTCTATTCTTGTATAGGATAAGCTCTCCATGTTTCATATCTTGTTATGCATGCTCTTGCTTCACACAAACATTTTGTATGCATACATTTAGGGGGAGCAAATCCTATACCTTAGTTATGCATGTATCTGATCCAAGTTATTCACTTTTATTTAATTGGGATCTTTACATTTGAGCATATATTTGAGTATATGACACTTATGGTGTTGATTAATACTCATCATTTATTCATATCCTTTTATACATGCGATCGGTTAGTCAACATGTGGAGGTTGACAACCGGATCATTGAGACTAATAATTTCACTAAGTTGAATGAGAAAAATAGGTTCCAAGTATTGAAAAGGTGTTGACGCTCAAGTGATATGATTACACCTAAAATACAAAGAATAACAAAGCAAAGATATTGAAGATGATTACACCTAAAATACAAAGAATAACAAAGCGAAGATATTGAAGATGTGGGATACGAAGTGGCTACTATGGCAAGACGGTGAAGGGCAAACGATGCTCGGTCGCGATGGACCATGCGGTGGTGAAGGGCAAGCAAGGGGCTTGGCGCTGAAGAACCAAATCCTGTGGTGAAGGGTGAGTGATGGCTTTGTCATGATGGACCGTGCGAGACCATTTGAAGCTACAAGTAACCGCATCAATCATTTGAAGAATATACGGTGAAACGGTTTTGGCGTTGGCGTCCCTTAAGACAAAGGAAGGAAATAGAAAGAAGGCATTCCTATTGGTATAATTCTCTTCCTATTTATATTTGATTATAGGAATGCCGTACTATTAAGAGGGATGCAACGTCGATGCGTTTGTATATGTCTCGGTGCTCAAAGTGACCTATCATAGTGCTACCTTGAGAGAAACCCAAGCTTTAACCTATCATTTGAGTGGTTTTAGATCTTGTTCTTGGTTGAGTTGGGTAGTCCTCTAAGTGAGCTTTCCATAGAGTCCAAGATTATAAAAAACGGACTCCCGAGCAAAAAGTTATGGTCGTTTTACTCTGTGCTTTTCGGAAGTTCCGAAAATTATCGAAAGTTCCGAAAATGGCTGCGAAACTGAGTTTTGCTTCTGTAAATTTTCGGAAGTTCCGAAAATTCCTGTCTTTGCCTCCAACGGCTAGTTTTTGAGAGGCTCAGGTATATAAACTCCTCCACCCCTTCCTTGAGTGGCTGTTGTTCTTGGGCAACATTAGACACATCCAAACCCAAATAGCCATCTCTATTTCCCATCCTTTGTGGTGCCTCTTTGTGAAGGGGATTTGAGAAGGGAAGAAAGTTGGATTGAGAGAGTGAGGAGTTGAGACCTAGTTAGCTTCACTCCATCCTTTGTGGTGCCCCTTTGTGAGAGGGATTTGAGAAGGGGAGATAGTTGGATTGAGAGATTGAGAAGTTGAGAGCTAGTGAGCTTCACTCCATACTTTGAGCACTCGGGTTCATAGCAAGCAAATCTTCGATTGTGTTTGTTACTCTTGGGGACTAAGGTCTCCTAGACGGCTAGGCGTCGCCGGTGAGCACCGAAGGTTGTGGTGTGCCACGGAAAGTTTGTGAAGGCTTCAATTTCGCCTCCGCAAGGGAAGAAATCAAGAGTGAAACCGAGGAGTGCATTTGTGCAACCTCGTGAGGAAATGGTTGAAATAGGCCCGGCCCTTGTGGCTCCTCAACGGAGATGTAGGATCCGTGGATCCGAACTTCGGGAAACAAATCAACGTGTCTCCTATTTTGGTTTGCTCGTTTTTGCCATCTTTTATATTGTGCTCGAGCTTATTTTTACCCGATCTACTTGCATGCTTAATTGATTTAGTTGGTGACCTTATATCTTGCTTAGATACTTTATTTGTCACCCTTTGATTCATATACATTTTATTTGTTCGAGCTACAAGTTCATAGCTAGTGTTTTGAGGAGTTTGGTTGGGGCAATGAGCCAGTTGAAGATGCTCATGGATGTGACATTACATGGGATGATGTGGATGAAGCTGTTGGTACGACACACTATCTTCGAGGTCACAATGTTCCAAGGAGAGCTCACAATCGTGTTGGTCTAATAACCTTTCAAAGGCGTCAAAGGAATACAACAACAACTGAAGAAGATGAGTAAAATATGCAATCTGACCAAGAAGAATATGAGGAGGATACACATGATGATACAAATGTGAGTGATTGTAATGAACCTCCCACTAGAGTGAAGAGAATTTGGATGCTAATGACAATTTTAATGAGTTTGATGATGAATACTAAGAGGCAATGAGTTGGACTTACAATACTTTTGTTTAGAGTGTGGAATTGTGGACCACTATTATCTATATATGCCATTAGGCGTATGATAACTCCCACTATTTTGCTATGTCTTTTGTTTTATTTGCCTGCTAGGCTGGACTGCTTGTTAGTTGGTTATGTATTTGTTGTTGCTCAAATGTTTATTTTGTTGTCTCTATTTTTTTTGTTTATCTAATTATCTTGCCCATTATCCGCGTGCCTGGCTGCTTGGAAGAATGAATGGCAGGGCATCAACAAGGTATGCTACTCAAGTAAATATAAACAATTCATTAACCATCAATCTTCAATTCTGAATCTATTATCTTCGTAAAAAAATATCGATGCTTCTAAGGAGGATGGATACTGCCATGGAGGTGGTGGATGCTACATGGGCTCATGAGTTACCAATAACAAGGTATACTAGGACTTTAGGCGCACTTCGTGGCGCGCTACCGTTCGTTAAAGAGACATGTGAAAGGACCTTGATGTCGCCTAGAGGGGGGGGTGAATAGGCGTTCCTAAAAATTATCACATCACAACTTCATAGCATATTAGAGTGATGAAAACTTTCGATTCAAGTTGGAACTTCCGGTATGGGGTTGGAAGTTTTGGTCTCAACCAAAAAGTTCGGCGGATAACGGAATAAAAAGTTTATGAAAAACTGAACTGTTTATAGATTTTCTAGCCGCTAGCTTATACAAGAATCTGCACTTGGAAGAAGCTCCCGAAACATACCCTCGTTTCTCACCCCCAAATTCACCTCACTCCGCTAGCGCCGCTCTCCCTCCTCACGTCACGCGTGCCAAGTGCGATCCCCCCTCCTCGCCCCAACACAAACCCCTCTCTCATCTCTCCTCTCTCTCTCTCTCGCAAACCCTCCTCCTCTCCTCCCCTCTCCGCCCCCGCCGCCGGCCGTGCCCCTCCTCCTCCTCCTCCTCCGGCCGAAGCGCGCCGCCCACGAGCATCAGCTCCCCCTCCTCGTCCCTCCCTCCCTCCCCACTGTCCGCCGGACTGACGGTGGGGGGCGCCTCTCCCGCCCACGAGGATAGAAAGCCCTAGCTTCGTCTCTGCTCTGTGCCTCCGCCGCTCTTCCCCCGCTGGCCGGACGGCGGCTGCCCCTCCCCTCCCCTCCCCTCCCCTCCCCTCCCATTCGTCGCTCGTCGACCCCTCTCCGCCGCCGAGGCTCGCTGTCCCAAGGTATTCCTCTTGTCCCCTTCCTCGGCTCCTCCTCCCCCTGCGCCGCAACTCTGCCGTGGCCCGCCCGGCCGCCCGGAGATCCGTCCGGGCTCGGCTCCGCCTCATTTCTTTCGCTGGCGATGAGGTGGTCTAACTTGCCGATGCGTCCAGAGTAGGCTCTGTTCTTTTGTGTTCTTTTGGTTGAGTTGGGAACCCATCCCTCCGGTACGGAAAACGAAGCAGTCCATTAGCACGTGATTAATTAATTATTTGCTATTTTTTTTTCAAAAATAGATCAATATAATTTTTTTAAGCAACTTTCATATATAAACTTTTTGCAAAAAACACACCGTTTAGCAGTTTGAAAAGCGTGCACGCGGAAAATGAGATGGGGGAGTTGGGAACTCCAGGAAACGAACAGAGCCTTAAATCCAGATGGATGTTTCTCTTTTACCTCCAGCTAATCCGTCCGCTTCGTTGAGGATTCCATTGAATGCTTGGCTGTGGTGGAGTGCTACACGACTGCTAGTAGCAGCTTGCTTCTCAGCAATTTGGGTGAACCCCCCACATTCTTGAGGTATCGCTGCATTTTATTTGGCAGCGCATTTATAATTGCTGTCTTACTAAAAAAACACATGTTTTTATTTTCTCCTTTTAACATTACATTTTATATGCATAGCCATGCAAAGTTCATGGTACAGTAGGGTCTACTTTCACCTTATTTGCTTGTATACCTGAAAAGCCTGACTGTTGGACATAGCCACGCAATAATTGTAAAGAAGAGGTTAGAATAATCTATATGCTAATATTGATCCTTTTATGTTACTGATTCTGCGTGTATTTCAATTGTACCTCCTGTTGGACATAGGCATGATGAAGCAAACTGTTTACATTTAGAGTGTATTAGAGCATAGGAATTCTATCATCGCAAATGGACAGATGGACATGCTATATGAAAATGTAAAATGCATTAGTCTGGAGTAGCTATTATGTGTGCTCCATTTCAAACTGTATATGTGGTACTTATTCTGGTTGACTCATCATGTGCAGTGTTATCTATTTTCACCAAATTTTAATTTTTTAATAGCCAACCTGTCTCTTTGACATGTTGTATCCGTCAATACAGGCAGTAACAATTGGATCTACATCTTGCCACTACAAAAGGATCAACGATCTGTACTAGCCTTCATTTGTGGGTTCCTCATTGGGAATTGGGATTCTTTACAATGGCAGATATGAGCCCTAGGACAGATACATCAACAGATGATACCGATGATAACCACATGGCAAGTCTTTCTTTCTTTCTTTTTTCTAGACTAATTCTTGTTAACCTTGATATGATTGGGCACAAAGCATCAATTGTCCAGTTTCATGTTTGGAGGAAACTACTAAACTATTATACTAATTATCATTCAAAAGTGAGAAAGAGCATCAATTCTAGCAATAGAAAATTAAAACAGCAAGGTTGTCTGACGAAGTAAGGATGTATACTGTAGAGGATGTTTTATATGAAAATTAGGCTATCGTTGTCAGCTGTTCAGTAATAATCTCCAAAATTCATGGAATATGTATATATTGAAACGTTCAGTATATGTTGGCATTCTCTACATAGAAAGTTAGTTTCATACGAAAATCTTGTTATCAGAGAATGCCCTTTGCTGCAGAGTTTGATATGTTGGCATTTAATAATCCAATTGAGCTACTGAGCAATGCATATGTGCTGTGCATGGGACCTACACATAGGTCTATCAAATTAGGGACTACCAGAAAACAATATAAACAGTTGGGTTTCCCCATTAAGAAAGCTGGCAAAGTTTGCCTATGGCACGTTTTTGTGAGATTTGTGGAATTCGTTCATGCGATTTGGATCCTTATGCACCTTGAATTCGCTTGAGTTCCTTGAATACATTTTGTTTGATATTTTATCCCTTCCAATAGCTTGTGTAATTTAACTTTTGGTATATAGCATGATCAAAAGATATAGACACGTTTATTGAAAAATATGAAATGCAAATCGTAACAGGCCTATTTATAAGTTGCGTAATATGATAAAGATGTGGGCTTTTTTGCATTGAGAAATTTGTTATGGCAGAAAGTAATTTAATAGATACTAAGGCTGTGTTCTTTCCCTTAGGTGTTACGGAGATTTTCAGTGCATGCAAAACGAGAAACCATTATAAACTTGAAAAATAACAATTTATATATAGATTTTTTTTTTGCAAAAAAAGGCACCATTTAACAGTTTGAAAAGTGTTCTAATGGAAAATGAGGAAGCTAAAGTTTGGAGTTGTGCAAAAGAACGTGGCCTAAGTAATAGGATGCATAAACAAAAATTACATGCTAATGCCTGTTGGTTTACAAAATTAAAGCTAAGTGATCAAATTCATTTTTTTGAATATGTTTTAGTCCACAGACATTTCAAAACAAACTGATCTTTCTTTTTCATAAAAGTTGGAGTCTTATTCATTTTTTTATGTAAAACATCAGGAATCAAGAAGGTAAAATTCATTATTATATAAAATAGGAATATCGGGAGCTTGATAGTTATGTTGTCACCTGCAGCTTGAACCAGGTCAGCTTGCTCTTGCTGCTGCTTCTGACTCTGACAGATCCAAGGACAAACATGAAGATCAAAAGGTAAAATTTTGCAAGTAGCTCTCTCCTTTTTGTTTCATATTATCGTTGTTGCAACAAATATTTTCCTTATCACTTTGTAGACATTGCGTCGGCTCGCCCAAAATCGCGAGGCTGCAAGGAAGAGTCGTTTGAGGAAAAAGGTACTTGTGTTCTGCTGTAGCTTTTATACTAAAGAAGTTTATTCCTTTTCAAGTTTTGAAAATTGATGGTTTATACCATGTTCTATTTTTTTCATTCTGTTACTAGGCATTATTAAACTGTATTCTTGTATTAGGATTCCACTATCATTTCTACTAGAAGATAGCATGCGTTGCATTGGGAACTTCTATATCACTTGCAGATTCATGGAAAATGGAAAAGTTTTGCCAAAATTCTATGGGGAATCACTTGCAAAAATCGGCTGGGTATGGGGGTAAATAGTTCAGACAGACATGTGCACACCTCAAAAATCAGAAAATTTGTTTGTTGGGCAACATGAGAAACGATATTCCCATCATAATATATAAGGCTGCACTAGATGTGTACATGTCTAGGATAATGAAATAATCAAGTTAGTAATAGTAATGAATTTTATTGAAAGGTAGAAGATACCTGGTTTTAACTTATCATCCATGCAATGGAGTCTAGTGGCTACTCATTATTTAAACACTTGCACAATTTGAGGGATGATTATTAAAACAAGTAGTACATTTACAGTCTTACACACTATATCAGGGTAAACCGTCAGTTGAGTTGGTCAGCTGGCTTCATCAATTTTTGGAAAAGTATGCTTGTTGCTCCAGCGGCTGAGCTAGCAAAATAATTTATTACCTGCAATTAGAAACACAAACGAGAATAAGGATGCCACAGATGTTCTCTTACCTGTTCTGTAAGCTGATTCAGATTGATTGAGCTGACACCGGCCATGATTCTTATACTCAAATCTGTGGAACAATCCACACAACACAAATATACACGGTTCAATTTAATTAAGGCATGTAGCTTGGCAGTGAAAGGCCACGATGGTGATGGGTGATCATAGGCATCTACCATCAGGTTGGACCACCAGAGATGATCTCTCTGCTGATGACGTGTACTAATCTACAATCTATGAGAACTAAACATGTTTAAGAGGATGAAGTAACATATTTAAGGCATTATATGCGTGATTGCCTGTCCTTGCTGGAGAGATTGGATGCTGGTCGGGACATGGCAGAGAGCTCCAAGGGTATATAGGCATGCAAGACTTGCAGTCTCGCACAGTGCCCTCCAATTCTGGGCAGTTGCAGGTAAGAACCACGGCTGTCTCCGGTGGGATGATCCATTGCAGTGAACCATCATATTTCATTGACTTATTGAAGGAATGGAGAAGGATTGATTGTTGAGCTTAAGAGGAGATTAATTAAAAGGAATGAACAGTGCGCTCCTTTGGCTTCCCATCTTTTTATTGCATTTCTGATGGTTTCCGGCTGTGATACCCTGGGTGATCAAGGAGTGCCGATCTGAGCCACACATGGCTATCATACAATGCGAGCCTCTGGTAGTCAATCAGGTGTTTGTGTACTTGCGTGGGGAAAGAGGAGATAGGCAGCCTGGCTGGGCTGGGCCTCAAGTATGACCTTGATTAGTACTGCAAGTTTATCTAACGGCTGATAATCGAGAGACATGTTGATCCAATGGCTGAAACTTGTTGATGACGTGGCTAAACTTGGTGACTTCTTTATGGTAATTATTGCTGTCAGTGGGTTGTAACTGTATAGAAAGAAAGGATTTTGTGATGGCACAGTGCACACCATATATTGCTGGGGGCAAATAGAATGGTAAATTGATTTATGTAGGGGTTACTAAACTTCCATTTTTTATATCGTAGTAAGTATTTTGTGTATTTGTCTGGTGATTTTTACCAGTATTTTGCACAAAAGGTCTTTAGTGGGTCTGCTTGTTAAATCTTGGAAACAAAAGGAGGGAAAAATAATGGTCAGTGCTAGTTGGCTTACTGTTCAGATTTCAATGAATATACTTTTAAAGTTTCTGCTGATATTGTTACATTATGTAAAAAGGGAAAATGGTTGATGCAAGTTATTCTTTTCAGCTTTTGTACAAATTTTCATGGTCATGATGCAATATTGAATAACTTCATCTTTTTAGGCATATGTTCAACAATTGGAGAATAGCAGGCTAAAGCTTACACAACTAGAACAAGAATTGCAACGAGCTCGTCAGCAGGTTTGCTTCTATTGTGTCTCGCTGTTTTGAGCTCTGGCTGCAAGAGTTCATTTCAAGTAGGCTTACGGGAATTTCTCACAGGGCATTTTTATATCCAGCTCAGTGGACCAGACTCATTCCATGAGTGGAAATGGTATATATCAAATCCTTCAATGTTTAATATATAATCACTCTTTTTTGCAGCAGCAACTGTTTGGTTGATCATTACAATGGGATATATGAAAGCAATACATAAACATTCTGCCTTGTTGACAGAGCAATTATACTGTATTTTCTTGCAGGGGCATTGGCTTTTGATATGGAGTATGCACGTTGGTTGGAAGAACACAATAGGCAAATTAATGAGCTAAGGTCTGCAGTCAATGCTCATGCAGGTGATAATGAGCTCCGTGGTGTTGTTGACAAGATCATGTCACACTATGAGGAGATTTTCAAGCAGAAAGGAAATGCGGCCAAAGCAGATGTCTTTCATGTGTTATCAGGCATGTGGAAGACACCAGCTGAGAGGTGTTTCTTGTGGCTAGGAGGATTCCGACCATCCGAGCTTTTAAAGGTCTGTAAAGTCTTACGATGTTCTTGTTGTTTATTTGAGCCATCCTTCTATTGCAAAGCCCCTCCTATTACCAAAACCAATGTTTCTACCATAATATTATTAGCATATCAAGAACAAATTATCAGTCTATACCTATTTTTCCTTCTATTTCATATACTCATATCACCAGGTCATTGTAAACTTGTGCTGTAATAGGCAGATTGTAGTTTTGATAAAACACTATCTTGCTTTGCATAACTCTTGCATACCTCATTTCTTGCCATTGGAGAGCATGTTAGTACTTCATATGGCCTTTCTTTATTTGCTTATGAATTTATTTGAGTAAGAGTTACTAAAAGTAAGAAAACTGCAGCTTCTTTCGACACAGCTTGAACCTCTCACTGAGCAGCAGCTGTCAGGGATAGCCAACCTTCAGCAGTCTTCACAACAAGCTGAAGATGCTCTTTCACAAGGAATGGAGGCCCTTCAGCAGTCCTTGGCAGAAACATTGGCTGGGTCTCTTGGTTCTTCTGGATCAACGGGAAACGTGGCAAACTACATGGGCCAAATGGCAATGGCCATGGGGAAGCTTGGGACCCTTGAGAATTTCCTTCGCCAGGTACCATGTTTTTTCTCTCTCTCTCTTTTCTAGTGTAAATTATGTATGTAAACCTTGGGTATAGTCTTATGATGTCCATGGAGTATGTAGTATGCGGATTCGAGTAAACTATAGTTCAAAATTGTGTACTAAATCCTCTTTATCTTTTCCACTATATGAAGGCTGACAACCTGCGGCAGCAGACTCTTCAACAGATGCAAAGGATACTGACCACTAGGCAGTCTGCCCGTGCGCTTCTTGTGATAAGCGATTACTCTTCGCGGCTTCGTGCCCTTAGTTCCCTCTGGCTTGCTCGGCCGAAAGAATAGCAAGCGCAAGTAACTTGACTGCAACCACATTTTTCGGGTTTGGGAGGTGATGGTGATCTTACCTGGAAGAGTTGACAATCCTGCAAAGGACTTGATTCGGAGATATTTGCACATACTATAATCCAAAAGAGATCCTTGTGTTCAGGTAGCTTAGTCTTATGGTTAAGTGCATTAGGCCCTGGCCCATGTTGTACTGTTAGCCGCTGTAAAATACTGTTCCATTATTACTTATGTATCTGTAATATCCTAATTTTCAGAGAATCATTAGAATGGGAATTGGGAACGGTCTTATTGACTATCCCGTGGGTATTTGACATCTCTTAGGAAAAACTAGCTTACTGTCATGGACACAGCGCCATGTCAATAATCTAATCAAGGATATGTGACCATTCAGTTGCATTGGAATTTCTGTGACTGATGGATTGTGTTTTGTCGATTGAACACTACACATGTGATTTGTGAACTTGGTCTATGATAGCTTGAACACTACACATGTGATTTGTGAACTATGACAGCAATGAAATCATTGTCAGCAGCAATGAAATTAGCAACTTCTACTCGTTTGATCTTCCTGGGAATTAGTTCATTCTGCTGCGTCTCGAGAATTTTCATGGCTGTCAGCAGCACTCAAATCTATGTAATGTTTTGATGAATAACCTGATGCGTAACGGATGGCAAATAAATAGATTCAAAACAAAAAATACAAATGCATAATCGTCCTCAAAATTACTAGTTGTACAAGACCATGTGCGATCAGTTAATTACATGTAAGGGAACCATGGTTTAAAAGAATATATTACACACTCATAAATAGGCTTTCAATAAAATTTTAGTGAGATAGATGTGATGTTAGTTTCGTCTCTTTGAGCGTTGGTGGGTGCATGGGCAGGTGTGGTGTTGCGTGTGTGTACCGTGTAATCGAAAAATACATACATGTTCATGCCACTTTTTTTTCAATTCTCCGAAATCTACAATACATACATGTTCCAAGTGTATGTCAACGATGGTTTTATCTGTAGCTTACTGCCAGCAGCACTGAAAGTCTGAAACCGTGAAGCTTTTTTTTAACTGTATCAACTATGGTCATTGATTTGTGCTTTTGGTAGAATTAGAGGTGCTCCCATGATTATGATATGCTTCCCAACGCTAATTATAGGCCGCACATTTACGCTAATGCTGGAAAAGTTCTTATATTTATAGGACGAAGTTTTAGCATCTGATTTAATACTTCTAAATTTCAGGAAGAAGACAATGATGATGCATGTGTGTATACTCTGTTCTAACAATCACTCTTACTGGCACAATGTGAGCAAAACAACCTGCAAGCCCAAACTTCAGACATCTTGTCGCACAAATCACACCTACGATGGTCCCATCTTTTAAGTTAAAACCAAGCGTCCACAAACTTAAGATTATTCATGGATAAAGCATCCTAAGCAGCATCTGATCCCCCCCATTCTCTTCTATCAACAGAAGTCAGTATTGACAGGTTAGACACTACCTAGTTCAAACTTCCAATAGTCTTATGAGCAAAGTTATATCATATATACGACGAGGGAGGCGCAGCAAGCCAAACCAACTGCAAACTAGTAGCCTCCCTTGTTAAAAGCTCCAGGTCTTTGCCCTCCTTCGGATTTCGGATTTCGCATGGAGGCAGGATTTCATTTTCTTTCATGACAACCATACCCAGTAGTCACAGTTTGCCCCCCTTGTGGATGTCCAGTTTCCGCATCCGTAGAAATATCGACCGTGCATCGGGCCTGGTCTGTAGGTAACTTTGATCTGGCTCAGCACGCCGCAGTGGCAGTACATCGGCTTCTTCACTGTGATGCCGGCGTATGGGTTAACCTGCACAGGAGATCCCATCACTTCCATTGGCTTATGGTGTGATTGGTTGGGATACGGAGAGTGCGCAGGGGACGACTGGCACGTTATTGACTGCGGGGCAGATTGCCACACAAGCGAGTTGGTGATCGAAAACTTGAAGCCCCGGTGCATCAGCAATGCAAGGAGGCGAGCGGTGTTGCGAGCATCATCGAGCCCACAGTGGGCACGGCCCTCCCATGTAAGGCCAGACAACTGAACTGCCTCTTTTAAGTTGCACCGGACACCCCCAAACACTTCCTGGAAAGGAACCTTCAAGTTTATCCACCTGCAATTTGTGCAAAAGACGTCAATATTAGAACCACGGTTGGCTTCTATAAGAATATTCAAAATAAACTCAGGCCTTTTAACTCAGAGACTCCAACATGACTTTTAATCATTACAAAGCCAAGTAAAAACATGTTACTCTGTACATTGGATTTTTACAAGGCACTGTTTGATTTGGTTGGGTCTCCAAAACTGAAAGTTTGACCGTTACTTTTTTACACCATATTGTTCAAACAACAAAATTATGGCCATAGGAAAGTATTTTAAAATATAAATCCAATGGTGCCAATTCTTAAAACAAAATCTAGATAATGCTGGACTAATTCTAGAAGAAAAAAATACAAACTTTGAACATTGATATTCGCGTGCGCCCTATGAAACTGAACAGAGTATCGAGTATGCATGCAGAAACATCTCCACTACTTCTCATCATAAATAAGATGAGACACGCAGCATACAGAAGAAAAAAACAGTCAAATTACTCTATTAACCTAACCAACTTTATATAAAAAGTCTATAGTGCTATTCTTGTTTTTAACATTATACTTCCACTAATAACACATTCAAGGTTGTTTCTCACCTTGTTAATTACAATGATTTCTTGTGCAAATTGGATATAGTAACAGAGCATGAAACATAATCTCAAACCAGGAAATATAAAAAAATATACAGAACATATATGATGAATTTTCCAGTTCATGTCTAATGAGTGTCCTGTTCTCATTTATGGCACTTTTTTCTTCACTATTTTCATATTTGCCACTACCACAGTGACCTCCTAAAAATGTCATTTTCCTTTTCTTACAGGGCAGGGTAACTGTTAAGAGAATTCAAGCATAATGCATGGAAAGTTCAGAAAATCGTAACAGAAAAATACAAGGACGATATTTTCTATAGAATTTGTAAACTTTCAGAAAACTTAAGATCTTAAGGATGTTGCATAAATGATAAATAAACTTATCATTGTCACCTAGTAGAAGTTTTCATAGATTTTTTTCTTAGTATATCAATTTTCTGAGCCTTTTTTTTCAAATGTGATCCTTCAATATTCTGTACTTTATGATATTTTTATGCTATGAGTTTTGTCTTTTTCTCATTTTTACTTTTCAACCCCCTGACAGTCAAACCGGAAAAATGCCTTTTTTTTAGAAGACTGCTAATGTCGCAAATGTCAAAGACCACAAAAATTAGTGGAACAAATGAGAATGGGAGTTTCATTTGTGGCAAACAATTTTTTTCCCCAAACATGCTTGTCTTGCAACATATAGTCTACTTCTAAATAGACTATCTACTTCCACAAAATTTGAACTTGATACCTTTGGAAAAGTGAATTTCCATAGTAAAATGTGTCAATGGGGGATTTTGCACTGTTTCTTACAAAGTCCATTCAAATTTCTATGTTCAAAGACTTCAAACAAGCCCTAATATTTCATACTTACATCATAGCGAATAGTAAAAACTTATCCCATAATCTGGTTTGATCAGAGTATAGCAACTGCAGTTAAGACACACTAAAGGCACAAGGTGAAAGAATACCTTGCACCACAGCCAAAACGAAGAAACAAAAAAGAATGCACACAGAACCCCAAACCGGCCAATTAAAGCAGCTCTCCTCTGTGTTCGATAAAAAAAAGCCAAATAAAGCACCAGGCCCAGCCCCATAGTCACCGGTAACCCGAGTACAACAACTGGATGGGACTTGAAGACCATCAATGTAAAAAATTACAAGGGGATAGTTTTCTTCGAAATGCTAGTTCAGGATGCAGGATATGACCCGACCCCAACAAATCAGTGTCGATGAATTATAGAATTATCAAATAACAAATTAAGGCCCCACTATTTTTAGCCTATAGCCCCAGATTATCAATAGGATTATTCGTGCCACACTTCCAAAAGTACGATTTCTGTCAGCGTTGCTTAGTTTTTTCTAAGTTACTGTAACTTTATTTTATATATATATATATATATATATATATATATATATATATATATATATATATATATACACATACACACACACACACACACACACACACACACACATATATACATACCTATAAACAAGTAGATCATCCATCAACTTTCATCCGGATTTCAGCTAAAAAGAACATGACCTAAATAATTATAAAATACCTACAACACGTATTATCAATAATCACATAATTGATAGTACTCTACAAAAAAGATCCTAATGTACCGCTATAATAAAACCATAAAGGCTGCTTTCTCTGGCTACTCCTTTCATTGATGTAAAGAAATGTGAAAGCAATAAAAATATAAAAGCTGCAGGCTGAAGCCTCTCACTCTTCCCATCTCTCATAAAGCATCCAAGCTGCTTCCTCCACAATCTCCTTGTGCTCCTGCTCTCCTTTCTCCATGAAGGAGCTGTGGAAGGCTGCTGTATTTCTTCAATTTTGTCTAGGAGTCTGAGTGGCTTACCAACTTCCTACAACCTCCTAGGCTGATAGGCCCAGCCCACATCCCCCTCGTCCCTCTCCTTTCCTCTGTTCTCATCCCTCCCTGCCACACTTCATGACCATACAGCAAACCAAGTTAACTACTAACTCACGGATCCACAATGACCCTGGGTCTTGAAATGTGGCTTCAACCCTCATCTTTTTTGTTCTGTCCACTAGGCCAACCCACATATCGTCCTCTCTCACTCCCAGGCCCTTATATGAGCTTGTTCAGAGTGGGAAATGGAATAGCCCCCCCCCCCCCTAAAATTCTAAAATTAGGGGCAATTTTTTTTTGCTTAAGTATATAATACTATGGCACAAGAAAGACTTAATGGATTGCAATTATAACACTTGCTTGCATCATTTTTTTTAAAAAAAAAATTCTTACGTAAAAAAAAATATAACAGTTGAAAAATATGTTTGGCAGAAGATTAATTATTATCAGATATATATTGTTGAAGAATTTGTTTCAAGTAATTTTAGACGGATGTCGCTTTTCAGTATAAGTTAAGATATATTAAGTGTTTACAAGCAATCTTTACTATTTTAGCATGAATGCGTAATATAATTCTTAACATTGTGAAATGAAAACATATATTGCAGTAATATAATGAGAAATATATATTTTGGTTATTGACACAAATATATGTATACTTTGTGTTTTGCACCAGGGTCTCAAATTGTTGGGTACAGCCTGCTCGCTCCCTCAACCTCCCTGGCACCCTGCCCCTCTCAGTGTCTAAGCCTAGCTGCCACAACAGCAAGCAGCGACAGCATGATTAGGTGGGGCAAGAAGCAAAGCAAAGAAAGGATGGGGGAGGGAGAGCAGCAAATCAATGTTAGATCAGGAGAAGGAGCAGCAGAGGACGGACTGCATTGTAACCCAAAAATTGCAAGAATATGGTACCAAGCTGGCCGATGGGGATGAGCTGGGGAGGAAGATGCCGCAACATCAAGGCAGGGAGAAAATGCTGGCTTTGAGGCGGGTAGCACATATCCACTACACAGCGAGACCCTAGGGTTTCCAGGGTAAGCTTCTCCCTCTCATTGTCTCCCAATAAATGCTTAGGTCACGCCTATGTGACGTCTTAATAATCATGATGTTAGCCACCAAAAATCTTGGTATTAATAACTTAATCTGTAAGCCTTTAACTTAGTCTAAAATTGTGCTGCTTAGTCCCAATAAACAAGTTAGTAAATCCCATCCTATCTTAGCTTGTTTGACGTCACGTTCCAGAACCAGAAGGGAAACCAACAAGCAGTGATGGGTAATAGGTGGGTTCAGCCCCAGGCCTCACTGGCCAGTTGCCAGTTGCCACAATGCAAGGCCAGGCAGAAGGAAGGACAAAAGCAGGAAATAGGATGGATCGGTAACTGTGGCTTTACCACTAATCAACTGTTGTATCCAGTTGTTTAGAGGATGAGTCTCCCTAACAAGGGCTAAACAATCTCTCTAACTGGAAATTTTAACAAGCTGCCTAATTGAAGATAGAATCTCAGGTAAACATACAAGGACAGTACAGCTGCTGACTGGTGGCCTGCCTGATTATGGTACTGACACAGTAAAAGAACAAGAAAAATGTGCAAGCTGGCACTTTGTACATGATCACAAAAGAAGTGGTTGCATAATACATGTTCTGAATCTAATATATTACCAGATTGACCCAGGAAAAGAAAGTTCATCCTGTAAAACTTTTGGTCTAATGCTATGACATGGTTTTTGCTGCGTTCAGATAAATTACTTTCTTTTTTCTTGTTTCTGTTCAGTGCAATAATGGAAAACACTTCAGTTTACTACAAAATTAACACGAAGGCTCCTTTAAAAAGAATCAAGTGCATGCTCCATGTAGTGCTCCAACATACTACAAAAATTAAAACATTAGGGCAAGCAAGAAAGGGAAGTTTGTTTGTGCCGGTGGTTTGCTTTTCGTTTTTGTTCCCCTTTGCTTCTTCCAACTCATGTTCAATTCAAACTTGATTCTAAGTAGATGTATGCTAAGTTAAGAACTTCATTCAGTTTCCTTTGGACTTTTTATGCTGATTTTGTAGTGAAATTAAATAAGTGTACAGGTTTAAACCAATGCCATGGTTTGCAATACACAAAATGGCATGGCTCCTCATGTTAATGTTTGAAGATGCCAGAAAAAAAAGGAGTTCCCTTGAGAATGGTAAATATGTAAACTGATTGTCATGGGCATCCCCTAGCGGATGAACAGTACCACGGGCACTGTAGCAGTTGGTTAGGAGATGGATAAGATTAGTTTGAGTTAGTTTCTTAAGGATCAAGTCATATCATCTCTATATAAGGGAAGTATTGTATTCATCTCAAGTGAAGCAATGAATATCAATTAGTCTAATGTCTCCCTCCCAACAATGTTCTTCTCCCTAGCCTAAATCTACATCCCTTCTCCAGGAGCCGACGCCGCCCGGCTATCTTCCCGACGGTGTTTATCCCGTCATGGCCTCGGGTCATGACAACTTGGTATCAGAGCCACTCACCATGGCTTCCAATGCCAAGTGAGTTCTCCGTATCACGGTGAGCCATCTAGTGTACCCGGTGGATGAGTATCTACTCCACCAGTTGTTTGATGGTTACGGAGCAGAAAAGAATATCAAAGTGTTCCAGATGGGAACACATGTGGAGGCTTCTATTCCGTTCCAAACTAGAGCGGCCGCTGAGCATGCTTGGAAACTCAATGGCCGTGCCATCTATGACGGCTGTTGTTGGCTGAACATACAGTGGGCGCAACCTTCTAGTAGCACCCCCGCAGCGGCAACACCTCTTGTCGGGATCACTAAGGAATTGATAGCAAATGTGCTTGAATTGAAGGCCATGTTGAAGGAGAGTAATGCATCAAAAGAGGTGGAAGATGGGCGCACAAAGCAGAAGGTGGCAGCGGTAGACCTAGCAGTCATGGCGCCAGTTGCTATGCCATTAACTCAGATGTCCCCGCCGGCGGACTCCTTGGTGGAGCAAGAGATGGCAACACAGCAGAAGACCGTGGAGGGCACGACGAGGACATTGCCAGCAGTGGTGCCATCGTCTCAGTTTCCTCCATCAGAGGCTGGTTTCTCGAACTCAAAGGAGCAAGAGGCAGCGCCAGCGTGGTCCTCGGAGGCGGGCGGAATGGCATGGCACGAAGGTGGGTCGGCGTTTTGCGTGAAGGTGGAGCACAGTGATGGCGCGTGTTGCGCGCAGCCAGGGTACGAGGCCATTGCGTGGCAGCACGATTTTCTGTTTTAGATGGGCTGCGTGTCTCCGATTCGTTGGCGGCGCCGCGGTTTCAGAGAGATGCAGCTTTGCTTCCTCCCATGTGTTGGCTGTTGGGCTGGCCGGGTCGACTATTGCTGAAGACAACGGGGACCTCCAAATGGTCCTGGTTTAATAGGTGGCCACGTGAGATTTTTTCAGTAACGTCAAAACTAAGTTGCTGGGCTTACAAACTTAGGACGTGGAGAACTTCAATCCTTCCTGTAACAGCATCCGGATGGGGTCCACCAGTGAGTGTCGTTGACAAGATGATATTGATACCCTAGCTTCTGTCATCTTAGATTTATTAGTTTGCACTAAAGTAGCAAGTCGAGATGTAAAAGGCTTAAGTCACTGTTAAGTTTTATTTAGAGAGTCATCAGGCATGGCATCACTGTGTTGCAGCTCGAGGACGAGCTGCTCAAATGGAGGGGTGTAGTGTCATGGGCATCCCCTAGCGGATGAACAGTACCACGGCCACTGTAGCAGTTGGTTAGGAGATGGATAAGATTAGATTGAGTTAGTTTCTTAAGGGTCAAGTCACATCATCTCTATATAAGGGAAGTATTGTATTCATCTCAAGTGAAGCAATGAATATCAATTAGTCTAATGTCTCCCTCCCAACAATGTTCTTCTCCCTAGCCTAAATCTACATCCCTTCTCCAGGAGCCGACGCCGCCCGGCTATCTTCCCGACGGTGTTTATCCTGTCATGGCCTCGGGTCATGACACTGATGACCTAAATTTCACACTAGAAATTGAAAAATAATAATACATTGAGACAGTAATCTATTGTTACGACTGAATAAATGCCAAGTCACATTAACATGGCAAGTTGTAACATAATTACAAATCCATGTAAAATTTTGTGCAACAAACACAACTAAACTATTACGTGCAAGAGAGTACAAAACTAAGGGGCTGTTTGAATCAGGGACTAAAATTTTAGTCCCTATCACATAGGATGTTTGGACATTAATTAGAAGTATTAAATGTAGACTAATGACAAACCCATTCCATAACCCTAGACTAATTCGCGAGACGAATCTATTGAGCCTAATTAATCCATGATTAGCCTATGTGATGCTATAGTAAATATGCTAATTATGGATTAATTAGACTTAAAAATTTTGTCTCGCGAATTAGCTCTCATTTATGCAATTAGTTTTATTATTAGTCTACATTTAATACTTCTAATTAGTGTCCAAACATCCGATGTGACAGAGATTAGGTTTAGTCCCTGGATCCAAACACCACCTAAACACATTAGTATAGCATGTGAATGTTATATCGAAACAGAACAGGCAGCCCAAGGGCCAGGTAAATATGGGATATCTGTTACCTGTTAAAGTAAGGGGGCTTCCTGATTCTCTTTAATCTGCACTCAGATTCCAACATTACACGGCAATCCCAGTTAGACCATGTCACAACAGCGAAGTTCTTGTGCTTAATCCCTTTTTCCTCCAACCACTTATCATGCATGAGCAATGCCTCACTTAGAGGCACACCTCTGTCTACCTAGACATGCATGGAAAAAACTATATTACCTCTGAATGAAAGAATACTTAAAACTATCGATCGTATTTGTGTGAGTAAGACATAATTTTTCAAAGTGGGTAAAATGCAGTTTCAATAAGATAACAAAATTCACATATTAATATGTAAATATTATGAGTTTAAATATATGAAAGAATAAAGAACGATAATTTGTTCACTAAACATATTAGGTATGATTTGTCATCAAATGGATTAAATATGTTGAGTTATAGACTCCAGAGCCAACCTTGCCATTAAAAAAACCATCTTTAAACATAAACTTTAAGCACAACTTGAAGAGCTCGTAAACAAAAGGTTATAAGTAACTATGCCTGTCATGTGCTAAACTTGAAATATGATAGCTAAGAATAGCTGACATAATGCAACCAAATCTAAATTTATATGGAAATGCATACTTCCTTACAGTTTCCACTTTATCAGTGTCAAATCAAATGTTGCCTGAAATACAGAACCTAGTTGTTTTCTTGACAGATCATCAATTGCAAACAAGAAACAGAAAACAACAAGACCCTGCTCATAATGTTCAACTGCCATCTCTCCTTGGATGGCTCTGAAGACAATATCAGCAGAAATGTGATGGCTCTATGGATGGTTCAGGTAAAATAGTGAGTTGGAATATTTGGAAGAAGATGATTCAGTAAAGCTCTTAGCCAAAGAAACAAAGCTTCATATCAAAGAGAGAGAAGATCCAGGTGTGAAAGGACTGTGTTCGACCAATCATGGATTGATAGGATAAGTAGAACACCACAGTACATCTTTGGACTATGGATTGTAAATTGATCTTTGTCATACAAAGCACCTAAGGAACAAATACATAAATGGTGATTTATCTAATCTAGCCTACAGGAGACACATTTGACCAAGAAATTTTACTGAATTCTAAGAAAATTTTAGTGTGCTTATACCAGTTCTCTAAATTGGCTAATAGGTGATGCAAGCTGGTAAGCCACCCAACTTGGAGCCTAGTGCCTCAACTGTACACTGGTTTTTCAATCGGCAGTAACATGAAACATTGGCTCTTTTTTTCCTATACACTTTTAAGTACATAAATGATCACTTAGCAATGAAGGCTATTAGGCCAAGCAATCATGTTGAAACCTTTTTAATCTTGCGTGGTTATCAAAGATAACGAATATTCAAAACTATAATAGGCACCAACCTGAATTTGTTGAATGCCCGTAAGCTCCTTGCAAAAGTCAGTCAAAAGTTGATTATATGCCGGCCGAACATACGTTTGGAAGGAAGCTTCAAGTTGTCCAGTTGCACTGTTAACCAAGACAGATGGAAACTCAATGATTTCTTGTGGATGTGGATTGTTCTCCTTGTCACAGGTTGCTTCAAAGTCAATAACCACAAAATATTGAAATTCCTGAAGTTGTGCATCAGGAGGGTAACCTTGAGGGGGCATCTTGAATGGAAGATATTGAACTCTACTCTCAATAGGAAAACTGTGGTCCCTGTTTATTTGATAAAATTGGTTATCTAAGTTGTAAGGTTGTGGCTGTCCCGGCATTTGGTAATCAGCATAAATAAATGGATAGGCATAATATTCTGTCCGTTGAACGGGTCTGAAAAAGCCTTGATTTGGAAGAGGAGATGCCTCCAAGACTCTTTCTGTTGCAATACTATCATTCTTTTTTTCACTATTCTCAGGAAACCCGTTGCTTCTCTGCTCTTGCAGGTTATACTGAGAAATTGGCTTGAGGCACCCCAGAGGTGCCTCTTTATTAACTTGCATTTCCTCTGCATAAAATAATTCAGGTTAGGACATAATAAATTAACACTGCAATGTGACAAAGTTCATGCAGTTCCAGAAAAATATTGAACTTGCACCATTTACTATCATATCATACGCAACCTGATCATTTGCAATGAATACTTCAGGACATCAAAAGATGCCAAGATAACATATTTCCCTCAAACAATTAATGGCTGAAGTAGTTCATACACTAAGGTCCAAGCAGGATATTTTCATAGCAAAGGCGGCATCTCAAAAGAGCACCGAAAAATTAATGCTTAAATACAGTGTTTGACACTGGGAACTACTATAACAGAAAAAAAATGTTTCATTAGTCTCTGGGTTAATATGTAGGGTACCACTTGACAAGAACAACCGCCAATTCAAATTATTATATAATAAAAAAAAAGCTATGCTCCTTAGTAAGCTGGAAATGTGGGTTAATATGTAGGGTACCACTTGACAAGAACAACCGCCAATTCAAATTATTATATAATAAAAAAAAAGCTATGCTCCTTAGTAAGCTGGAAATGTAGGCTGTAATTCTATCGCTCATCATCCAAACAAGAAAAGAAAGTAGAACCTTTTTTTTTTCCATGTAAAGGGACAAAAAACTTTTTGTTTGCAAGATTACAGCACTTTCTGATAACTATGCACTATCATTTGACCTGAGCGCAATATGAGTGCAAAAAAAAAAAAAAAGAAGCTAAAACAGCAGTGCAATCTCCATTGGAGTTTGAGTTAGCTTGTTGATCAAAGGAACTGGGAAATATTCGTGTACTAGATCATGAACTATAAGTCACTCGTATGCAGGGGCGGATCCAACTTGGGACATGGGGATTCAATTGAACCCGCAAACTTTTGGGCGAACAAAAAAACTGTTATTACTTGAATTAAGAGAGGTTTAAGGCTATCAAATTAAGGAGGAGGAGAAGATCTAGAAGAGAAGCTAGTAGGGTTCACGAACGCAAGCAAATTCCAGTCCCGGTGGGGTGGGAGAGAGAGAGAGAGAGAGATGAATCAGAAGGAGGACGCGGATGCTCACCAGGATCCCCTCCCCTCCGCTGCTCTGCTCGCCAGATGGAGATCGCCGCCCGGCCCTCCCCTGTTCAGCCGCGACGCGACTCGTCTTGGCGGCGGCGCAAGGAGCGGAGGAGACAACGAGAACGAGACGGGGAGATTTCTTTTTCTTTTACGCGATACTCGACTAGAGATGGCAATGGGAAACATGACACGATATCCGACGGGTTTTTACTCTATCAGGGAAAAAATGTTCTAACTTTTATATCTACGGATCTACTAAATAACTCTTACCTATTAAATAAGTGTGTATGGATATGTTTTTTACCTATACCTATATGTACCCACCATCCGTTGGTGAAAGAAAACCATAGATTGAACCTAAAAAGAAACTCGTAGATTGAACCTAAAACAATAAATAACGTAAGTCCCTCTAACTACTAAATTATAGCATAAAACTCCTTTCATATATTAAGCATTATTCCAATTTAGTTATATGAAATTATTATTTAATTTCTTGATTACGTAATGTTGTTGTATAATTTTCTTTTTACTCGCGTTGTAGAATTTTCTTTTTACTCGCCTTTGAATGATAATCTTAATAGCATTGTTGCTAGAGAAAATATTAATGGTTTACAGTTCTAATATGGCTAATTACAGTACAAAACTATAAATTCTACAAGTCAATTATATGGGTATGGGTACCCGTTACCTACACGGGTGTGGGTACGGGACGATTCTGTACCCGCGACGGGTGTGGTATTTAAGTGGGAATATTTATCCATCGCGGGTGTGGGTATGGGGCAAGAGAACCCGATGGGTATTGTAACGCCCCGATTTTCATTCGGGATTAAAAATCATTAAATAATGCATTTTCTAGAAAATAAATAAAAATTAAAGCAATTTAATCAAGTGAAATAATGAGGGACTTTAAAATTTCCTTTAAAAATCATGGCCAAAAATATTTTGTAATATTCTCGGTGTCCTAAAATACTCTCTGAAATTTCTCGCGAATTTTCGGAGCTCAAGAAATAATTTTAATAGAACAAAGTTCATTTAATCAATTAAAATAAAGAGAAAACGAATTAAAATCCTTCTCCTTTGCTTTGGGCCAAAAACCGCCTCCTCTCAGGCCGGCCCAGCTCACTTCCCCTCCCCCTCTCACTCAAAGTCCACCTCCCCTCCCATTCCGGTCCCCTCTCCCTCCCTCTCTCCGACAGGTGGGACCCGCAGCCCCACCTGTCATCCCCAACCTCCAGCCACCCACCGGCAGCCGCCAGCCACGCCGCCCACATTGCCGCTTCCTCCAGCCTCCTCGCGCCTTCTCACATGCAGGCTTGGACGCCGCCCATCCCCTCCACCTCCTCGACCAAACCCCCCTACTCGTCCCACAAAAATCGGCATCGGCCAAGCCGCCACCACCCCACGTCGCTACCCCCACTTTCCCCCTTCAAATCCGCCACGTCCGGCCACGATCTTCATCCCCGAGCCCTATAAAAACACTCCCAGCACCTCCCTCTCCATTTTTCCCTATTCTCCCCGAGCTCCCTGCGCCCCCTCCCGTTCTCCCCACGCCGAGCCCGTGCTCCGCCGCTAACCGACGAGCTCTGGCCGCGCGCCGCCGCCGCTAGAGCCGCCGCCGCCCTACGCCACCTGCACCACCAGCTCCGCCACTTCACGTTGCAGAACAACCGACGCGCCCCTCTTTCATTCCACCGCCCGAACGCTGCTTCCACCGCCAACCCAAGCCGCCACTACCATATGTTGCCTCCGGCCGGCCGTTGCCGCCGCGCTAGCCATCACCACGCCTCACCGCTTGCGCTGTCGACTTCGCTGCATCAAGCTCCACCCCGGGGGCTGCTTTGCTCCTCCAACCCACCGCCTAAACGCCTTCTCCCTCGCGCTCCCAAGCCACAGCCGCCTTTGGCTGCCTTCAGCCGCTCCCCGCGTGCGAGAGGGGTTTCGCCCGGCCGTGCCACCACCTTTCCTAGGTCGTCCTGATCCTCGGCCGTCCCTCTGTCGTCGCCGTCAGTCACCGGAGCGCCGCCGCCTCCCTCCGCCTCTCCTTTTTTCCCCTCCTCCGCTGCTCCCCTTGCCCGCGTTGTGCTGCCGTCGCTGCTGGCCGTCCGGCCGGGTGCCGCCGCCGCCTGTTCGAGCCGGCTGACGAGCCAGCCCCCTTCCTCCGTTGCCTATTTTGGCGCTGCCCGTGGACCGCCTGTGCTCCTGGTCCTCGGCGCCACCTAGACCGCGGTGGACTTGGTCCACCGTGTGCCCTTCCCTTGGAGCCGCTGACGTGCGAAAAGCTTCTCCCTTTTGCTGACGTCAGCGATCACCTATTTTCCCTTTAAAAATAATTAATAATTACGCAATAAATCGAGTTTAATTGTAGAAATCCATTTAAATGGCTCAAAACTTCTAAAATTCATATATAATTCATTCGAACTTTAAATTGGGCCATTCAAATTGCAAAATTCATCTTAAATTGAGCTCTACATGTTTGTTTACTTTTGATGTATTGTTTACTTGGTTTTTAGGGTTTTTCATCGTTTTGCATGCCAGTGTGTAGAATCCGTCATTTCGGAAGTTCGCGATCGCGAGGAAAAGAGTTCAGAAGATCTTTTGAAGAAGCAAGGCAAGTCATACATTCCCCCCTTGAGCATATTGAGCCTACTTTATAAATGTTTTACCGTTTGCAAATAAATATGCATGTTTTGCTAATTACATGGGATAAGGGTACAACCTATCTGCTCGCTTGTGCCATATTATTTGATGTCCGTCCTTTGTCAAACTTGGGTGATAATTCGACTAGCTTGTGTTACTTATGTTGACCTAGCTAGAACTACATGCTTAGCCATGCTTAATTACCACTAGCTCACATAATGGGATAATTACAGTTTTAGACATCTAGTATCTTGACGAGCTGCATGCTCGAGACATCCGGCCATGTTTCATTGGTCATAATTATCCAACTAAAATGCGGCTGAATGTGGGCTGTAGGTGCATGGTTTTGCTAGTCGCGCCCATAGTAATTAAGGACCGGTTCACGGGAAACCCTGGAAGACTTACAGTGCTTAACACAAGCGGGAATAGGTAACTGCTTGATCTGTAGTATAGCTCGACCCTTTCCTAGGCACCGGTGGCGAGGGTGGGCGTGATGGAGTTGGGTCGAACGGGGTGTCCGGTTTTCCAGATGCCAGATTCACCGCGATGCACGAGGGGACTGCCCACCTCCGGGGTAGGGGGTGGGGGTGAAACCTTTGCGTGGTGTGGATGGTTAGGGGAGGGTTATGTGAAGGGTCTTGTCACAATCACTCAACATAGTGATGTGTCTGCGTAGGCACGGTGACATGCCGGTGGATTGTGACTTGTGGGTATAGTTGTGCACCTCTGGCAAGAGTAAAACTATTCGAATAGCCGTGCCCGCGGTTATGGGCGATCAACCATATTCACCGTGATTAGTCTCACCTTTAACTGGCTTAATGAACTAGGTAGTTTAGGTGGTTTGGTTGGGCCTGTTCAACGTGGTGTAGCGTTGATCAGTGGAGATTTAATATTACCTTAATTAATCAACTGTTTTATTGTTTCGCTCAATAAAATGCTTTGCAACCGCCACTACAAGAATCTATTTAATCTGTGACGAAATTTTCGTGATGTTTTTAGATATTGTCACGGATATGCAACTATGGATACAAGGCCCATAATACCGTGACAGTTTATCGATTTCGTCATAAACCGGCCCAAAACCTGTGACGTTATAGCAATTTCGTTGCTATTTAAATACTTCAAAACCATATAAGAGATATGTAAATTTTGTGAACAATGTTACTATCACTTCATCGGATGAAGAAATGACCAAAATAAAAGTTATAGATATTGATGAGTTATACAACTTTGATGTTGATAACTTTTTCAGTTGAAATCATTTAGTATTTGAAAATATTGTTTGAAGTTGTCATAATTTGAAATTCAAATTCAAATTATTGAAATAGAGTCATATAGCAAAATGACCAAAATAAAAGTTGTAGATATCGATGATTTATGCAACTTTAATATTACCTTAATTAATCAACTGTTTTATTGTTTTGCTCAATAAAATGCTTTGCAACGCGCCTTCATGCAAATAGCCACAAGCCCTCCGTTGTATCCCCTTGCACGTCTGCATCACTGGTGTGGCTTGCTGAGTACAGTTATTGTACTCAGCCTTGCTATTATTCTCCTTTTTTAGAAGTGTAGCGCTTCTGAGCTGAAGACGATGTTAGAGGACCAAGGCTCAGACCCCAGTTGAGTTTTGCCTGTGGAGTGGAGCTGAAGCCCCCGATAGGATTGCCTGACATGGAGCCAGTGCACAGGCGCACTACCCCGGCCACATCGGTTATTCGACTGGTCACAGACCGGTCACGGAACAGTCAAGCGCACCACGCCAGCGCGTGGTGCGCTCTCTCAGACCGCCTTAAATGCGGTTAGGTGGGCGCTGGAAGCGCCCGTCTAATGCGGCACATGCGACGCCGCGCGGAGGAGGTCGGGGTAGCCCGATGCCCGGGCATGCGGGAGCGGCTGCCGCCCCGCCTCGGGCCCAACCCCCTCTGGGGGAGGGCCACGTGGCTACCGGGGGAAGCCTCTCCTCTATAGCCTTTATACCCCGGGCCCATATCACCGTCACAATGTATTTATGTTTGGCTCCATCTCTTAAGAGCAAGTGTAATAAGATTTTAAGCGATGTCCCAAAAGTGCCACATATGATCGACTTTAGTTAAATTTGTTTATTTTATATCGTTTCAAGCATATGAATTTCTATTATTTTTTATTGGTCTTAGTATTATTTACCTTTGTAGATATTCACCGAAGTGTAGTTTCTTAGGAGTATGTTACAATTTTCTTTTATGTCCCATCCTGATAGAAAGGAAAGCATATGTAGTTGGATGTTGATTTAGTAGCTGAATCAATAATTGATAGGTATGAAAAAGGAAGATCAATGCATGACTGTAGAAGAAAAATCCATTATTGAGAGCAATACCAAACACGTTACAGTTGTTAAATCAACTATTTTCCTAACAAACATTGAAGAAAGATACAGTAGTGAGAGCTATGGTAAGGACTTTATATTTGTTAATCAACCATTTTTCCTAACAAATATTTTGAAGAAAACCCCAATGGTGAGAGCTATGACTAGCGCTTTTTATTTGTTCACCAATAATAATTTTCCTAACAAACGTTTAGTTGGTGGATTGATTCCTATATCTTTTTGTCAACTGCTAACCATATACATAAATATATCAGGCATACATGTATGAAGTTTTTATTGAAAAATAATTCCACTAGTCAGCGTAGCATTTCCCGGTATATTTGTTTTGTTGCCACTTTCAACTTTATCAATTTTTAATAGGACAATAAACCAAATCATCTCTTACTATAAAATTGTAACCCACTAACTACTAAAACTTAACATGCAAAAATGTCACATCATCATCCACTAACAATCATTAAATTTAAACAACATGCAAACATGTTATATTATCTATAATTTTATAAATTATTAAATTTTCGAGCTTTCAAAAATGTAAGCATGTTAAATCATCATCGCACATAATTCACATAATATTTTAATATATATTTATTATTTTTTTATAATATGCTATATACATATATAGTTCATCATCACTTAATTAATATTTATTTCTCTCTTCTCTCATTAAGCCATATCACATCAATTTTTTTTAAGTGCTTAAATGAATAATCTATGGTCCAAATTATCTCTCTCATTTTCTTCTCTCATTAATCCATATCACCTTAATTATTTTTAGCCTTTAGATAATTAATCTACGGTCCAAACTATCCCAATACTTTTCTTCTTTCATAAAGTCATATCACCATACTTTTACATTTAAATCATCATTCTATATACTATTCAAATTTAAATTATCATAAACCACGTTAACTTACGTAATCTTATATTATCTAGAAATCCTACACATTATTTTTATTTATTGTTACCATACTAAAGTCCCGCAGCAACGCGCGGGGTTTCACCTAGTATACTATAACCATCATTACCAAACTAAATCAAACGTATTCCAACCATTGTTAACATACAAAATTTTGGTAGTTTTGAGATCTCCCACCCTTTAAATCACATCAAAATCTGTTCGAACCAAATATATCTCCTCATAGTCAAAAGAGTAAAATACAGTAGCGGTCCTTAAACTTGTCATGAGGTTTCACTTAGGTCCACGAACTTGCAAAACGCACATCAAGGCCTCTAAACTTGGTTTATTGTATCATCCCGGTCCAAAATCTAGTTTGACCATGGTCTAACCTACGTGGCATGCCACGTGTGCGTGTGCCACGTGCACGATGAGATGGGATTAGTGAGAGGGGCAGGGTGGGTGCCGCAGCTCCTGCACGCCACTACCGTCACTCCCTTCTTGCGCTGCCGCCGCTCCCTCCGTGTGCCAACGCCGCCGTCGCTGCCCCCTCCGTGCGCCGCCGTCGCTCCCACTGCCTGCTGCCCCCTCCCTCCCTCTGCGCATCAGCGCCGCTGTCAGAATCCAGACAGCATTCAGAGGCTTCCTGGTAAGCAATGGGTGCTCGTGTTCTAGCTCTGCTTCGATGGAGTAATCATGCCGTGTGTTTGTGCAGGCGAAGAAGGCGCTGGTGAAGCTGCAGGCGCTGGTGCGTGGCTTCCTCGTTCGCCGGCAGGCCGCCGCCACGCTGCAGAGCATGCAGGCGCTCATCGCGCGCAGGCCACCGTGCGCGCCCACTGCATCGGCGCCGGCGCCGCCGCCCATCTCCCTCACATCCACCACGCTCCCTTTTGGCCCCGCCGCTCGCTGGTACGCCGCTGGCGAAATCTCGCCGACGACATCACCATGTATATATTCGCCGTACTAGTTCTGTTCGATCTTGACGTTGTGTGTTGGCGATGGATGCAGCAGGAGAGGTGCGCCACCGACGATACGAGGAGCGAGCACGGCGTAGCGGCGTACAGCCGGCGGCTGTCGACGAGCATCGAGTCGTCGTCGTACGGGTACGACCGGAGCCCCAAGATCGTGGAGGTGGACATTGGGAGGCCCAAGTCGCGGTCGTCGTCGTCGCGGCGGGCGAGATCCCCACTGCTCGACGCCGGGTGCGCGAGCGGCGGCGAGGAGTGGTGCGCCAACTCCATGTCGTCGCTGCTGCCGTGCTACCTCCCCGGCGGCGCTGCCGCACCGCCGCCCCGCATCGCCGTCCCGACGTCACGCCACTTCCCGGACTACGACTGGTGCACGCTGGAGAAGGCCCGGCCGGCGACGGTGCAGAGCACGCCGCGCTACGCGCACGCGCCGCCGAAGCAGCGGCCGTAGCCGCGGCTGCCGCTGCTCCTCATCCCTCCGCGCACCAAAGCCGTCCCTCCCTCCCTTCCGCCATCTCTGCTGCATTTGTCGGTCGCCGTGCAGCGTTGTCGTTGTCACTAACCATGGCGACCGGATCTGGCGACCTCGCTGTCCTCGTCGCCACCACGGTCCCCCGACAGTCGTGAGGAGAGTGGAGAGACCTCGAGCTCGCCAATGGAGAGGGGAGAGAGCTCGAGCTTGTTGTCCTCTGCCACACGGAGCTCGACGCTGCCGATACCGTCGCCCTTCGCCTAGGAGTTCGTTGGGGAGGAGAGAGGTGGCCCGATCTGCGCAGAGAGAGAGAGAGAGAAAGAGAGAGAGGAAAGGCGATGCCGCCAGGGATGAGAGAGGCGGCGCTGCCGCCGGCGGTGAGCGGAGTGGGAGGGGAGGCGTCGGTGGCGTCAGGCCATCTCCGTCAGTGGGGAAAAGGAGGTGGGGAGGGGATGAGAGGGGAATAAGAAGGAAGAAAAAAAATAAAAAAAGTCTATGTTATCGTCCACATTGCGTGCCACGTAGGCAACACCATGGTCAAACCAGATTTTAGACCAGGATGATACAATAAACCAAGTTTAAAGATCTTGATGTGTGTTTTACAAGTTCGTGGACCTAAGTGAAACATCATGACAAGTTTAAGAACCGCTGGTGCATTTTACTCTAGTCAAAACTAGTTATCGCCAAACCCAATTTTGACAAGTTTGCAAGTTTCAACAAGTAATATTTTTCTTACTCCCTGCCACCTACTCCCTCCGTCCCAAAATAGCTAAACCTAGGAGGGGATGTGACATTTTCTAGTGCAATAAATCTGGATAAAAGGCTATCTAGATTCATTGTATTATTTTTTTCTTTGAAAACACAAACCTTTTATTAGAGGACAGCATTAGGGAAATAATTCCCGGTACATCAACAAAAGATGAAACATAAAGTACTTAACCATCCATCTAGAGAGGAAGGGTAGTTCAACAAAGGAAACATAATTCCTAATGAAACCATGGGGCTGTAAAAAGATGTGATCAGCAGGGAGCCGCGGCATTGCCGCGACGATTACATCCAAAGACCTCTTTTAGCATACACCCTACTTGACAAACTGGTAATCCTCTTCGGCTGCCTCCACGGGAACGGCACAATTTTGAGGTTCGTTGTTAAGCCGTAGATTTTGGTGTGCTTCACCGGGATCAACATAAATATTCCACGGAGTTCTCCGTTGAATCTGAGAAGCACTAACTGCAATCCTGTTGATCAGGACTGAACATGCGATCTGTGCTCAACCTAAACGAAAAACCCTGCATGGTTACTGCCACAAGGAAAACAATAGGAAAAGTGCTTGCCTAGATCTTGGATTTGGGGCTGGCTCCTCCACATCGATTCCTGCCACTTGTCTCCACTTGATTTGCCAAAAGCAGGTAGTAGAGGCCACCGGTCCTTCTCTCGGTCAAAAGGCCATCCAAACCATCTCCAAAAATCTCCGCCGCCCTCTTCTCCAACCAACTCCGCCGCCATATGATGAACCCTGAGTTCCTCTCAACACTCAAGGCTGTTGTTGGCCCGATCTTTCGGTGAGTTGTGATAACTACGATTTGGGAGAAATGTTGACGATCCGACTACAACCGTACAAGACGTTCTGTTGCGCCTTAGCGATCGATACGCCTCTCCGTGGGTTGTTGATCTTGCCAGTGCAGATCAATCTTATTCCTGCAAGCAAATCGAAGAAACAAGCAAGAACAAGATAAAAGCAATCTGAATTACAAATAGGAATGAATACACAAGATAAGTTGGGGTTCCGAAGAACAAGCAGACGGACGGTCTAGCCGACACGCGTGCTGCAAGCAAGTAGCAATGGCTAAACTTTAATCTATCAAAACCCAAGAAACTCTAAAGGGGTACCTAACTATTTAAGGAGGTGGGAGGACGACCTAAGGGGACCCTAGGGTCGTGCTCCACCTGGTTGGGGCGCACCCCACATGGGCCCCACTTGGGCCGGGGTTCCAGACGAAGTTATAAGCCCATAGGCCATTATAGGTGACGCAACACCTTCTTTTTGTGATTTCGGCCGACTAGGATGGAATTTGGCGATGAAGCTGGATCCATTGGAAAGATGACTCCGAGAGCTTTCCATCAAGTACTCATGGACCCAAAATGGAGCTCGCATGCATATTTGGCGGCCGTTTGAAGTCCATACTGTAGCAGGTGGCCGAACTGGATTGCAGAACTTGGACGGCTTGATCTTGATGTGAACGACGGTTGTATCTATAGTAGCTATGGTCACATCATCCTCCCCTTCTTCACGGAAAACCGTCCTCGGTTTTTCCATATGGTGCTCTTCGTGTAGTCTATTTAAAACAACCTGTTTCTTCCAATCACAACAAGACAAACTCGAGATAATTTTGTTAGCAATAACATTTCTCTCTAGCTTGCATGTTTTATCCACAAGTACAGGAGGTTCTAAATCTGAACAGATGTAAACTCTATGCACCAAATATATTCCTCTATCATTATATTCACCAAAGAGATGAAAAATAGTGTTACTTGGACATGGCAAATCAGACTTAGCAAATAATTTCTCCTTCAAATTATCGAGCTCATGAAAATCAGCAAACTGAACATAGCCCAAAGTATTTAAAGAATATGTCAATTCACGTTCCTCTACTCTATTAGCAATGTGAACAACATGCTTAAAATCAGCGCAGTTAGTATTAACAACAGGAATAGCATGTTCATTCACTAGTTGTGGCATGGATATAAGTGAAGCATTATCGCACAACTCTTCTTTATCACAAGGAACAGCAAGTAAATCAATTTGTGACAAAGGCAACTCAGCAATTGATTCCACTAATGGTTGCTCTACTATAGCATGAAAAGTGGACAAGTATAGCTCACCTTGAGAATACTCACCTTCATTTCTCTCAGCACCATTTAATTTACCTTGCGAACTTTCTTCAGACATCGTAGGTGCTTCATCCTCTTTCTTCTCAAGTATACCATTCTCCTTTTCTTGGATGTGCTGATCTTCCTGCAAAACGTTAGTAACAGGGGAGACAAAAGATTGCTCCTCCAATGTTTGCACATCATCATTACATAAGTATATTGGGGATTCAGAAATAGGAGATAAATCACATTGGTCATGCATCCTCGCCTTTGATATGATCTAACTCTCAATGCTACGAGCAAGCATGAATAGGTGCCCAATATAATTATATGTCACATTATCAAGCAAAACCTGAATTTCAGAATTAAGCCCATTGAAAAATCTACGCATTGTATTTTCATTGCACTCTTTGAGACCACTGTAGATGATACAGACCTTAAATTCATGAATGTACTCCCTAACAGTTCTATCACCTTGTTTCAGATGTTCTAATTTCTCCCAAAGAGTACATTTGTAATAAGAAGTCACAAAGCGTTTTCTCATCATGGTTTTCAATTCATCCTAAGTTTCAGGTTTATTACTAACATAAGTCCACCAAAATAATGCAGAAGAGGTAAACTTATTACTAGCAGCCTTAATCATTTGAGCATCAGAAAAATCATATATATCAAATTCATTGTCTACTGCTAGCTCCCAATCAATGTATGCAACAGAATCAATACTTTCCATCATAGAATGGTAACTTAGATGCAACTTGTTCAAAATTATAGTCATGTACCTCATATGCATCACGTGGAGAAGTCGTCATATCTCGTCGAAGGTGTAGAAGTCGATGTTCTCGTATTCCCTTACGCAATCCTGCCATGGTTAGAAGCAAACAAGAAACACACAAAAATATGCACGCTCCTATCAACTACTAGGTAGTGGCAGCTCAAATATCACACACACTCAAGCTTTTAACGAAGCTCTTACAAGTTCTTACCAAAGCAAGCGGAATGGTGATGTACACCGACTTAACCAAGCACCCCAATGGAGATTGGATGTATCGATGCCTTGGGAAACACTTGCTGTACGGCTGCAATCATATCTGTGGAGCTCTGGGTAGGCTTAAATATGTAGCAAAGGGATAGCAAATGCTCAAATCAGAGAATGTAAAGTTGAATAATGGTTCAAAGTCAAGTACCGTGCTGGTCCTAGGCTAGAACGTACTAGAGACCGAGCCTAGACACAAACGATACCACAAGATAGCACTAGGAACAACTCATGCACAACTCTGATATATGAAGTTCAGCTCAAACATAACAGTATTTTCTCTTTTCTTTCTTTCTTCTTTCTTCTTTTCTTTTTTTTCTTTCCTTTCCTTTTCTGTTTTTTTTGGTGCAGTTTTTTTTTCTTTTATTTTTTTATGCACCTTTCTGCCTTTTTTTCTCACTTTTTTCTTGATTTTTTTTAACAAAAACTGACTCAAGGACCTTAATGTAAGGTTACAAGGACTCAAACGTAAATATAAAATTTACAGGGACTCAAATGTAAAAGTCTAAACCCAAAATTCAAATTATACAAAAATGGAATGCTGAATTTATGCCGGTTCCGTTTTTCCAAACAGATCTCAAAACCGATACCAAACAAAAATTCACCAAGGTGTTTGACACAACTTGGAACCGTGAAAGGGAGGGAGGGAGTCGGACTCGGCCAAAGGGACGAGTGGGAGTCGGCCAGGAGGTGGAGTGGATGGTAGCCGATAATTAGGATTTGGTGTATGGGATAAAAATGAAACTGATTTTTAACCAATCCAATCTACTATATCTTTCCAAAACAAACTTGACTACTTCCAAAATCAGATTGGTAATTCACTTTCCTCCTCTCGTGCACGACACAGGCACGGCCAAAACAGAAGCACGGCAATCAGCAAACCCAAGATGCAACTCAACAACTCCAAATCCAACCGATAGAAACTTTTGAAAACTACAAAAATAGAATCGTGGCAGCAAGCCGATTCCGTTTTCGTAGGTCCCGACGATAACAGAGACACAGAGGCGACGACGACTCTGGTATAAAACATGACCAGAACTCGAAACTCTAAACGAACTAGACGCTAAGACCAGCAACACGACGAGACGATGCAACACAAAATTCAACAAAGCAAAAACTGAAAAAAACAATGCAATGGCACAATATGGCTAGGTAAATGATACGGATTTTTTTTGTATGGCTATTTTCTGGTTATAGGAAGATAAAAACTCACCGAGTAATGAAAGCTCTGATACCACCTGATGAACCCTGAGTTCCTCTCGACACTCAAGGCTGTTGTTGGCCCGATCTTTCGGTGAGTTGTGATAACTATGATTTGGGAGAAACGTTAACGATCCGACTACAACCGTACAAGACGTTCTGTTGCGCCTTAGCGATCAATACACCTCTCCGTGGGTTGTTGATCTTGCCGGTGCAGATCAACCTTATTCCTGCAAGCAAATCGAAGAAACAAGCAAGAACAAGATAAAAGCAATCTGAATAGCAAATAGGAATGAATACACAAGATAAGTTGGGGTTCCGAAGAGCAAGCAGACGGACGATCTAGCCGACACGTGCGCTGCAAGCAAGTAGCACTGGCTAAACTTTAATCTATCAAAACCCAAGAAACTCTAAAGGGGTACCTAACTATTTAAGGAGGTGGGAGGACGACCTAAGGGGACCCTAGGGTCGTGCTCCACCT